GGGGGGGGGGGGGGGGGGGGCTGTAGAGCAACGAGCGTCATGCGTGACGGTTAAACACAGTAAGAAGGTTGAGTTTTTTCGGAGGGTACTCTATTAATAAAGAACCACAGGTATGGTGTAGGACTGTCTGTGGGCATGTGGGTCTATTGTAGGCTGGCGTTATTGGTTAAAGGCCGGCAGGTAGGGTGTAGAACTGTGAGTAAGCTTATTGTTTAAATGCCGGCAGGTAAGGTGTAGTACTTGTCGGATCCGGTGTAAAAAGATGAATCCGGTTAAGCCCTATTTTTACACCAGGCATCAGCTAGTTATAAATATTTTTTAAAAAGAAATATAATTCGTATCCGGAAATTTGATCGAAAGAAATTTCGTCGACAGTAACTTGATCGACGGTAATTTGACTGAACAGAAATTTGGTTGAATCTTTTTTTTTATAGTTTTTACATTAAATTTTTGCTTCAAATTTATTTTTGAACGCATAATTTTGGTTTACTATATGGTATAGTGAATAGTGCGTTTAAAAAGAAATTTGACGAAAATTTTAATGTGTGAACTGAATTAAAAAAAAAAAAAATTTGACCGAATTTCCGTTCGATCAAATTACCGTCGGTCAATTTAACTTCGACGAAATTTCTTTCGATCAAATTTCTGATAACCATTTTATAAGGGTTAAGGTATTTGCTCAGTTATCTCCCTTAATTGAATAGAAATAAGACATAACTTTAAACAAAACAAAAAAAATGTATTTACCGGTAATTTAAAAAAAAAATTAACATACACATTTAAAATGAATTGAATAGAAATAAGACATAACATAATATTATTAATATATAACATTTAATGTGAACATTTGATGAACTTAAACTTAATTTAAGCCGTTCTTCGTTGAGAATCATTGCAAAGAAACAATGTCAATTTACAAAAAAGCCAGGGGTGCCACTTTTCCGGGTTATCCCGGAATTCCGGATTCGTGAGGCTAAATATTTTTCAGTTCCGGATTCGCGAGTTTTTATATTCTCTATTTCCGGATTCGCCAGTTCAATTTATTCAAATACGGATTCTGTCTGTTTTTTTTTTTTTTTAAAGAATCAACGTGCAACAGAATTCGCGAAAAACCAGGAAAATTCCTTGAAAATGGACGTTAATCGCCGATCTCGTCTATTTTTAGCCTTTCTGTTGACAGAGAGCTAGTGGTTTCCCCTTGCGCATGCGCTTTATACTACACGTTTCGAGTACCGTACTACTTCGATAGACCAGAAATATTTATTTTCTGTTCACGTCGGCGATCAAGAGATATTTGAAGTGTTTGGGTAATCAAAGTGTAAAATTTAGTAAATATCTTTTTAATTTAGTTTTTAATTGTTGGGTAACCATTATCATAAAAAGAAAACTACTCGTCCGAGCGCTGTCTAACAAGACTAAGCTTAGCATACTTTGTTATGTAGCTTTACCGTATGCAGGCGACTTGTATTTTTTTTTATTAGAAGAGCTAGGCGGCGTTTAACTTTTTTTAAAAGACTTCTTAAGTTCACTTTGTACTTAATTACGGAGTAAGCCTTCTCATTTTAAATAGGCTAATATGATTAAGTTATTTTTATCCGTTCTGTAGAGAGCCTGACATAACTGTATTTATTAGTTATGCACTCCCGTGTTCTGACTCTGGGTATACTTTACGGTAATTTGTAATTCTACTATTACTAGTATTCATAATGCTCTGTATTACCGTAGCAGTAGTGCCGTAGTTAAATACTGGTATAATATAGTCGATATTATTATTATGTATGCCTTACTATAAACTATAAATCTAATAAGATAATATATTTTATTTTGTTTCACTATTCAGGATCTTGGCTCAATAAAAATATGTAATGCCCAACAGTTAACAGTTCCTTTAACTTTAAAGAACTGATGGTCATTACAGTTACAGTACAGTACAGCAATTAGCAATCATGATTGAATAAGCCATCAATGAATACTATGCTGGAAATATTGATATCATGTATTCAAGGGGAAAATGTCTGAGTCAATCATCTTTATCACCCATCTTAGGTGTCCACTTTTGTAACTTCTCAATTTATGAAATTTATGTGTCAAACTATGAAACTCTCACACTTGGGAGATAGTATAGACACTAAAGTGTGTTGATTCAAACTATCCATTTTCATCATAAAGAAGACAACATTAACTCCATATATGAAAAGATACTTTCCACTTGTGGTAGCTATACTTTTGTTCTAAAATGCCCAGATAACTCATTGCAAAAGTTGACTTTTCAAGTCTAAGTAAATTGAAAAATTGCTATTGCTGTAAATTTAATAAATACTAATAAATGTTTACATGTATACACCTTAATTGCTTAATTTTGTTCATTTGTGATGTATCTCAATGTTTTATTTGATAATTTCATGCTTGTTTTTATATTAATCAACAAAACGCCGCATTGCGATAATCAGGAATTTTGAGTTTCATTAAGTTTCAGGGATTGAAAAATTTGTAAATGAAGTTTCAGGTTTCAAGAAATTTTTAGAAAGGGATTTCAGGGTTCACAGCTTTCAGTGAGTGGCACCCCTGAAAAAAGCCTTCCCGGTCGTCGGTGTAGCAAGTAGACGCCCTTCATTTTTAAAGCCTGTAATTAACGAAAAATGCTATTCTTACTGAACACAAATAAAAAATAAACTATGTGTTAAAAATTAAATGAAGTTGATAGAAAATTTAGCCCCAAAATAATTGCCGCCCGGGGCGAACCGTCCCTTCCAACCCCCTCACCCTTGCCTAAGCCGGTGGTTTTTCAATTTTATTATTTAGTATAAAATCTGCATTGTATGAAATCAAACATAATTCTTTAGCATAAGACAGACCCACTCTTGAAATTTAATTCCAATAAGTATACGTTTTATGAAATTTGTATTAAATATAATGTCTCTTTAAATACAATTTTTGCCACGTTTAAATTTTATTTTGCGACATTCGTTAACATTAAGAGAAAACAAAATAAAGGCTGCTTCCTGTCGTTACTTATTTAGTTTCTGTTCCTTGTTGTGCTAATGCCTAAAACAAATCGTTAATGTCGACGTAAAGAAGTTATATTTTGATAGTAAGCTGGTGTCGTTAATTATCTTCAGTTTGCCAGAATATGGCTTCGGACGTTATATTTGACGAGCATGCTGTGGATAAACTTGACCTAAACAGTGATATTTTTATGACTGGTGGCTTAATGAGTGAGTATTTTTTAATAATTTTAATTTGATTTTAGCCTAATAAATAAATTACTAATTATAATACAAATAATTGATAATTATTTATTTCGGCTGATTTATTTAGGAGTAGGACGTAATGTAGGCCTAACTAAATACTAAAACAAAAGAGATAGGTACTTTGACACACATTTTAAATATTGTCCAATAGCCACAAATGATACACCATTTTAAAGGGCTCGCTATAAGCTTTGCAAAAACACCAATTTCATCTTTCTATCTTTTATGGAAAAAAAGTTATGATTTTTTTGGTGAATTTTTTAACCCCTTTATTTATCTTTGTATTTAACGAAAAAACTTGTGACCAACTTTCCACATTTCTGCTTTATTTTGTCCACAACTTTTTTATTTTAAAAGATAATGCTACCAAACTTTCAGGAGACATTCTCAATGCAATATACAACACAATAAACAACAAAACTTTTATATAACATCAAGACTTTTATTTTTTTATATATTTAATCGAGGGTATGTTCAGAAAAAAGTGAACAGAAAAATTGGGAAAATCATTATTTATACAGGAAAAATTGAAAAAAATAACATGTTTATTGAATTTTAACTAATTTTATTATGCTTGTGTTAAATTTTAAATCATTATATTTATAAAAAGGTAAGTAGTCTTTTTTTATATATAAAATTGAACGCATGTAATTATATATAACAAATACTAATATCACCCATAAAACTAATTACAAGCATACCCTTATCGGAGTATGTCATTAAATATTTAAAAGGTAATGGGGATCTTCTGCCTGCCATTTTCCGGGTAGAATGCCCTATAGTGACTTCTTTGTCTTGTTGATGAAACCCACACATTTTTCCTTCATAAACTTTGTCGCCGCCATCTGCATCCAAACATTCCGCCTTATTGGATATGGGCCATGGAAGGAATTCCAAAGTTTGCAACAGAAATGTAAAATTTTCTCTTCCACCCAAAAGAAGCCTAACATTAAATACTAATCATAATTCTGAATCTATACAATTTTTAGTTTCTTTTTAATATTATTCAAGTGATGTTTTTATTAAATTTATTTCCTTTTTTTGTTTTGTTTATTTAATTAGAAATATATTATTGTTGATATAAATGTTAACATTTTCTTATGCCTCTGTCCTAGTTTGATATAATTACTATGATGATGTAGAGTCTTATTTATTTATTTATTTTAATAAACTTGTTATAGACTAATTCATAGGTTATCTAATTTTAATTTTAAACAAGTCACAGTGACTCAGTGACGCAATTTTCACAAAAAATAAATATGTACGAAAAAAAAAATAATTATGCATTACCATATTTTATTGGAATTACAATTGATAATAGTATATTTTTAATAGTGGTAGCAACTGCTTTTATTTTGTTATTATCATTAATTATAATTTATAAATACCACTAATAACTAGCATTATATATTATAGTAGTAGTATTACTACTACTACATATAATAATTATATAAATCAAGGGACAAAACAAGTCCGAAATTCACCGGACTACACGAACTACAATTATTTAAAATTATTTAATTTATTAAGTTGTACTACTTTCTAATAATATTGTAAAACAGTTTTCCCTTTATTAACTAATTAGTCTACCACGGATTATCAAAGATGAACTATAATGAATAAATGAAAATATCTTTAAGTTAAATTGGTAATAACAACCATTTCCGACAACCCACTTTTTTTTGTGAGGGGGGATGACTCGGGTGACTACTAACAATTTTATTTTCTTACACCTTCCAGTTGGATTGGCATAACTTTTGTGCGTTTGAGCTAATTTTAATGAAGTAAAGTTATTAAAATGTGTGAATGAATGAAGCAGTATTGGGCTAAACCACTATGTGTTTGAGTTTTACATTAAAAAGTAATAAGCAATTAACGTACATACCGATGAAAAATTAAATGCGTTACCGGTCACAAGATTCTAAATGCTGTAAATATGGTATTCACATGTTTGGAAAAATATGTGCTCCACGTCACCGATAATTTAAATACTATTATTAGGAAACAGTGACGTACAACGCAAAAAAACGACACCCTCGCTATGCCGTATAGCTATATTGCAGCTCAAGTTTTTCCGTGATTTTTCGACTGCGCAGAAGGGATGCGCGTGCGTCTTTTGAAATACCTAAAAGAGATTCAGAAAAAAGGCGTATAGCCTATGCCTATAATAATGCCATTGACATTTCATTGAGGGGCAGTGAATCAGGCTGATCAGGCTTCTCTTCAATGTAGTGTGTCTCTTCTTTTTACTTTTTAGTCAGGGCAGTCACTATGTGTCCTTTTCTAAATGTAAGTAAATACTCTGGGCTATGTGAGAAGGGGCAGTCGAAGGGGCATTTGACCTGGGTGCCAACTCCAGTCAGGGCATAAAAGATAAAATCAATTGTAAGCTACTTCAGGAAGTAAAGTTAAAGATAAGAAGTGCCATAAAAGGATGTTTTAATGGTCCGCTCCCAAGGCCCCATCTACACTTTTTTCTATATATTGGAGCTGCATTTTCCGCCTTCCTCGTGGGAGCCATTTTCCTAGGCATGGCCCTGTATATACTACTAACACTAACACTTATAGCCATTGCTGCCATAGCCCAGATTTTGCTTGTTGGGGGGGGGGACCAGGGTGTACTAGGTCATTATTAAACAAATTTATAGTTAAATATAGTTTTCAAATTTTATTTATTACATTTTTAGTCTACAATGACTGTATGCCTACTAGCTCATCTTGTATCTAGTAAGTTGTACGCTCTTTCATTTTGTGTCAAGGGCTAATAATTATTTGTACATTGTGCATGACTTGGAAAGCCATGTCGCCAAAACATAGGCCTAAAAATTATCATGTATAAATTAAGAGCAGTGGAATGTGAAGCCAACATGATGATCTTGTTATGATTGCTGATCAGCACTGCTGATGTAAAGTCCAGGGAACAATAGCTCTCAATAGGTTTTAAAAAATGTTTTAAAATATGTAAACTATGCCTCCTTTTTGCTATACTTTCTTGCCAAAGACAGAACGTTTTTGGGTAAAAAAAATGTGAAATCATCTGGAAAAAAACTCAACAGAAACAAGATAAGTGACATGATACAGAGCAAATGTTGGTCAACAGCAAAACATGTTTGTTTAATAATACATTTTTGTTTTGCTGTAACTGTAAAATATCCTATATAGTTTCTTTGGCTTTACAAAATTATATGCTAGCCTAATGGACTATTGTGGTCCAGGGGCTCTATTATGGTGAAATATTTTGCGTTTCAATCTTGATGTAGTGGATTTGAGTTTGATTATTGTTTATTAGCTAAGCTATAATCTATTCAAAATGTTTAAGAAATATGAAATTATGATTTTAAAAAGTAACTCTCTGTTGTATTCTACCATATAGGCCTAACCCTTAAAATATTAAATGCATGTACAAATATGATTTTAAAAAAAAAAATTTATAAAAAAAAAAAAAAAAAAAAAAAAAAAAAAAAAAAAAAAAAAAAAAAAAAAAAAAGAAAAAAAAAAAAAAAATAAAAAAAAAAAAAATAAAAAAAAAAAAAAAAAAAAAAAAAAAAAAAAAAAGTCATTCAGTAGAGTTGGAGTGGGGAATCAAACCCAATTATTTCCATCACAGATCAGCGACAGTCTATAATTAAAAAAAAAAAAAAAAAAAAAAAAAAAAAAAAAAAAAAAAAAAAAAAAAAAAAAAAAAAAAAAAAAAAAAAGTCATTCAGTAGAGTTGGAGTGGGGAATCAAACCCAATTATTTCCATCACAGATCAGCGACAGTCTATAATAATAAACAGGATAACCTATGGTAGCAATGACTTCATTCAACACTAGTAGTAATTGGTTATGGGCTGGAACTTTCATTGCTTACAAATACTATTTGTGTTGATTTATTTTCATACATTTTTTTTATATAAAACAAAATTACTAAAAGGTTCCCCACTCCAACACAAGCACTCATTATAAATATAATAGTAACTAACACTCTCTAAGGATAAAAGATGGTTGCTTGAAGCGGAAAAGCTTTTTGTTAGGCTCCTGTCACGGTGTGCTTAATAGATAAAATATAAACAGTGAAGGAAATTATAAATACCAAAATAATACTAATTATACATTTTATTTTGCTTTATAATGCATCAAAGCTTAGTTTTACTAAATGATCATAAGAGAGGAGAGACTGCAAATAGGTTAGGTAGAAGGACATATGTGAAACAAGGTATGGAAAACCTAAAAAAAGACTTAATAAAACAACACACATGTCAACAAGAGGCCTTCACATCAACTGAAGGAGAAGACTTAATAACAACTGAAGGAGAAGACTTCATATCAACTGAAGGAGAAGACTTCATATCAACTGAAGGAGAAGACTTCATATCAACTGAAGGAGAAGACTTCATATCAACTGAAGGAGAAGACTTCATATTAACTGAAGGAGAAGACTTCATATCAACTGAAGGAGAAACCTTAAAATCAAGTGAAGGAGAAACCTTAAAATCAACTGAAGGAGAAGCCTTAACCAACTGAAGGAGAAGCCTTCACCAAATGAAGGAGAAGCCTTCACCAACTGAAGGAGAAGCCTTCACCAACTGAAGGAGAAGCCTTCACCAACTGAAGGAGAAGCCTTCACATCAATTGAAGTAGAAGCCTTCATATCAACTGAAGGAGAAGACTTCATATCAACTGAAGGAGAAGCCTTCTCATCAACTGAAGGAGATGCCTTCATATCAACTGAAGGAGAAGCCTTCATATCAATTAAAGGAGAACAACTGAAGGAGAAGCCTTCATATCAGGAGAACAGCTGAAAGAGAAGCTTTCACATGAACTGAAGGAGAAGCCTTTTTGCCGACATGATCGTTATTTTGTTACGTCTTTTCACGCCCCTTTTTTCCATACCTTGTTTCGTACATTTCCCAGCTTTTCGTAAGTATTATTTGTGAAAGTAAAGGTGTCTTATAAAATTGTGTCGTTTTGAGAGGTACTAATCACTGAAGTCATTAACATTAACAGTTTCAGATGAGTTAAATTATATCTAAAATCTCTAATTTAAAAAAATGAGTGGAAAGCACCCAATACGATTTTAAGAATTATTTACTAATTGTGTTGTAAGTTATTTTTGCTGCTTGATGTGATGTAATAGGAGCCTCTCAGGATTAGCAGGGATTAGAGGTGGGTGGGGTGGAGGAGTGCCTAGTTTGGGAGTAGATTTAGGATCTCGAATCAATAAGCCCCATACACTTTTTTTTAAAAAAACACATAAATATTAGATTTCAATATTCTACCATGACGGCCTTGTCCCCACGCGTCACTTCTTGCTGCTCCACGTGTCACATCTTGCTACACGTGACCAACCGGCCGTATACAATTATTATTGTATGTGGGGACTCAGTGCCTTGGTCTCGTGTCGTCGTGTGCATTGATCCAGGCCACAGAACAACGGTCTGGTAGATAGGAGTTATACATTGTCTGTCTCTCCGTGGATAATAATAGTAACGGAAATGTTCAGCCTGGTCGGTGGTAGGTCTCTCAAGGTCTCTTTGTTGATAGCGGTTTGTGTGTGTGTGTGTGTGTGTGTGTGTGCCCCATTTCTTAAACATCTTAAAGCGACTTTTCCTATTTAACCGTTTTGTTCATGGTCATTTTTTCAATAGTCAAGTCATGGTACAAGGACAGCAACCTTGAGATAGCTAATGATTTAGCTAATAAATATGATCGTATTTGATGGCAATAAAGACACAGCAAGGCCTGTGTAATGCGCACACACATGCACACGCACGTCAAATTTAACATTAAAAAAAATCCCATTTAAAGTGACTTGTATTTGTGTAAATATTTTTAATAGATATGCGCCGAATCGATCTCTAGCCCCTACATAGTCGCCATTGCATCTCGTAATGTGAGAAGCAGTCGATATTTACATAACTGGCTTCTTGATTAAAGGAAGTGGCTGGTGATGTTTCGTTTGTTTTTTTGTTTTTTTTGCGAGCATTATTTTTCCCACCCGTCCGATCAAATATTATCTGCAAGTTTTTTTGGTTTTTTTTTTGAGGTGAGAGAAATAAAAGAGAAGCAGCATTGTTAGTCGAGGAGCGCCAGTGGCGTATCGAGGGTGTTTGGCGCCCGGGGACAAGATCCATTTTTAGCGCCCCTTTTTATTTTTTTTCAACTCTCAAACCCATTATTTTCATTAGTAAAATAATATCAAAGCACATTTTGGCGCCCCTAACTAGCTTGCGCCCGGGGTCATCTCCCCCCCTGCCCCCACCACGCTACGTCTCTGAGGAGCGCTCTCATAAGCTTTGTTAGAAAGAAGCTGTGTCCTTGCAGCAAGTTCTGAGTTCAATGCACAGAAAGTGTGTGTGAGGCCGCTTGAAACCTATACAATCTTGAGTCGTTTATGTTAACCGTTTATGATCCTTTACTGGTTACATGCTATTTTTGTGTGTGTGGGTGTGGGGAGACGACCTCCCACACACAGGGAATATTTTTAAAAGAACGATTACGTTTACATTTATAAGTTTCTGCTGCCTACGCTCTTAACAATAACTGCAAAAAGGAATACATATAGTATACAATTTAAATATAAAACCTTGTAACATAGCCGAGTGATGAGACTAGGCTTTCACCGTTGACTTAATAAAATAGTAACATCCACCCCCTTCCCCCACACATTAAACAAAGATTTTACACCAAAGACACTTCCCCACATGTTCAGTGAATACGAGAACAAAAGAAGGTGTTGTTAGACATTACTCAGAACAAATCTCTTTGTTCACGAAGATCAGATCGATATTAGCCTATCACTTCAATAGCAGTTTATTGATAACCATCTTAATAGATGGACACCAATCGATCTCATTACACTTAGTCATCTAAAATACGGACATAGACCCAGTGTTTGAAGAAGAAAAAAAAATGGAAGGGGGGGGGTAACATTCAGTGGAGTAGCTATAGAGAGTTTATGACGCCCGGGGTCTTCCTTCATTTTCCGCCCCTAATAAGTGAAAAGGGTGGTGCAAAGTACACGTTTAAATAAGCTAGGGAGTTGATGAAGTGGACTGAAATGCCGCTCCAAAATAAGTTCCTCTGGGGGGTGGACAGTCTTCCTTACCCCCCGTGGAGACAGTGCAGGCCAGACACAAAGGGAAGCAGAACAAGACATTCCAGGATGAAGAGAGTTGATCTCTCACACTACACGACACAAGCAGATATTCTTTCACACTACGTGACATAAACTCATCTCTCACAGCACATGACACAAGCAGATATTCTTTCACACTACGTGTCATAAACTCATCTCTCACACTACAGGACAGTGGCAGTTTATCCCTCACACTACAGGACAGAAACTGTTCGCACTTCACAATACAGGGCATGCACAGCTAATCCCTCACAATACAAGGTAAGAACAGTTCATTCCTCGCAATGCAAGACAGAAACAGTTAATCTCTTAAAATACAAGACAGAAACAGCTCATCATCCACAATATAGAACATAAATAATTCATCTCTCACAATACTTGACACAAACAGTTCATCATCCACAATGTAGGAATGTCAACAGTTCATTCCTTATCACACAAGACTGAAACAGTTCATCCCTCGAATTACATGACAGAAGCAGTTCATCTCTCAAAATAAATCAAGGACAGAAACAGCTCATCCCACACAATATAACTACAGAACAGAGACAGTTCATCCCACACAATATAACTATAGGACAGAAACAGACAGAAACAGTTCATCCCTCGTGGTGTAGAACCGAAAGAGAGAAGGCGTGTTTGTTGTTGTTGAACTAAATGACAACCATAACTGAGTGAAAGGACCTGCAATAAAACGTTATGTTTAGTTAAAGTCTTAAAATATCTTGTACGGGCGTCTATACGGGCCATAAGTAACATGACCTGTGAGAGAGACCCGAGTAGTTAATGCGAGGAAAGAGAACCCGTGTCGTCCGAAAGTCGCCATAATGGTCTCCACCGAAATGGCTCGTTGTTAAAACGGGAAACAATTCGACTAGAACAGGATACATGTGATCTTATTCCCACCGGGGCACTTGAAACGTTGCCTTGCGAAACTTAGGAAACAGAAGAAAACAGCAACAACTAGTCTTTATTCTCTTAATTGATTAGACGTGCCGGTATCTTGCATTGGACTTCTTAGCAACCCCTAGGCATGTTAAGGTTTTGCCAACCAATGATCTTCGTAGCAACGTCCAGAAATGCAAAGGATTTCCCACCCAATGATCTTCATAGGCACTTCTAGAATTGCCAAGGATTTCCCACCCAATGATCTTCATAGGTACTTCTAGAATTGCCAAGGATTTCCCACCCAATGATCTTCATACCCACTTCTAGAAATGCAAATGATTTCCCACCCAATGATCTGCACAACCACTTCCATAAATGCAAATGATTTCTCACCCAATGATCTTTATAACCAACAAAAAAGGGAGTACTATTTGAATGAAAGACTCATCCTACCACTGCTACCAGCAGTTTGTCAGCGTGTGAGTTAATGAGTGTGCATGGGATTGTTTAAAGCAACAATTTAGTAGATGATGTAAGGGTGAAATAGCGGAACATGTTGAAGATAACCATCAGACAAATCATAACAGAATGGCATTACAATTGTTTGGTGCTTGAATTTTATTTTATTTTTCTTGATGGCTAGTCCTTTTTGGAACTAAGGGGTGACGAGGACAGTTTGAGGACAACTGCATCTGTTTAGCGCTACAAAGAAGACATCCCCGCGCCCCCCCCCCCCCCAAAAAAAAAAAAATGGGCGACACCTGTTATGACTGATCTAAACCGCTGAAGCCCTAATAGAAAGATGTTATCCCTATTATGAACACATGGTTGTTAACAGCCATAACCCGTTAGCCTCAACTGCCGAGATAAAACATGGTGGATTAATGTGGTCAATTTCATAACAGCTTGAGCTGTCTGTAGCCAGGATAGACTGGGGGAGGAAGGCCCGGATGTGACAAAATCCATACATTTATCCCTTGTGAGTGTGGGGGGGATCTCCGACTTGTGGACACAGCTCTTTGCCGAGCCCGTTATAGTATGACATCGCGTCCGTTACTTTAACCGTCCGTTATTTTTTAAAGTTCTTTAAAAAAACAACAACCGGAGACGGCGCCAACAGTGTTAGGCTGTTCCATAAGAAGAAACACGTCTCGATATTCTCTATGTTGGAAATAACGTTTTTATCCGGTAACGTGACATGGTGTGACTTTAGCGTGCTCTAAGAAAAACGTAACTTGGTCAATGGTTACGGCGGGCGGGCATTTTGTTAGTGGACCAGACTGATAGATTAGTGGGAGTCGCTTTTTGTGGCGACTTTTTGTTAGATCTTTTCTTTATTAAAGTTAAAAAGTCGAGGTAAAATGAAGTCGTTTCGTTTATTTGTTCGATTTCGCCTTTTGTGCTGGAATCGTCGACCCAGCAGTGCTAGAATGGAAAATAAAATAATTCCCAATTCATTTCAACCGAAATTTTGCGCAGTATCTTTACTGGACATGCTTCCTTCATGTGACGACTTAACTTGACTCGTTTAGGTAATGGGAATAGCATCTAATGCGGCATGTCCCAGCGTGGGGCCCAGGCCCCACAGGGGTGCAATTTGATTGCTTAGGGGGACAATTCGAAAATGAGCTGTCTCGAAGTTGAAAACCAACCGTCTACTATGATTTAACTTGTATTTTAAAAGGAGAAGCGTTAAAGTCTCAATTTAAAATAAGCGTTCGTTAAAAGTGAATTTCAGTTCTCCATTATATGTTTGGAAAATTTTCTTGCTATGTTTTGTTTACAGCGTTGAAGTTGCAGTGCATTTTGATTTAACCGTTACTAATCAGCATTTGGGATGAGTTCACAGTGTAACTAACTGATTCTAATCAGCATTTGGGATGAGTTCACATTGTAACCGATATTAAATCAGCATTTGGGATGAGTTCACATTGTAACTAACTGATTCTAATCAGCATTTGGGATGAGTTCACATTGTAACCGATATTAATCAGCAGTTGGGATGAGTTCACATTGTAACTAACCGATACTAATCAGCAGTTGGGATGAGTTCACATTGTAACTAACTGATACTAATCAACAGTTTGGATGAGTTCACATTGTAACTAACTGATACTAATCAGCAGTTTGGATGAGTTCACATTGTAACTAACTGATACTAATCAGCAGTTTGGATAAGTTTACGCTGTAACTTGTAACTAAACTTCTGGTTGATGGTGGTTATTATATGAAACGTATCTTCAAGTGCTGGAAGAAATGTCCGCTTGAGGCCGGCTATATAGAGAATGTACACACATTGCAACAGTTATGAAGATACTATCATTACTATGGAGGACATGGAAAACATTGCCTGTGGGTCCTTAACATTTCTCTGGGCTTTGTCTTGTGTCGTGGGGGTCTTGTCTATTTTGGGATCTTGTCAATATGGGTATCTGTGGTAAAAGTCCGAGGGTATTTGAGTTAATTTTTGCTTGGGACGTATCTGATTTTAAAAAAAAAAATAACTTAACTGTTGCTAGATTTTTTCAAATATAAATGGGTTTGAACTTTGCATATACACCATATATAAGTATGTGTGTCTGTAGCCATTACAACAGTTAAAGAAACGGTTATTCAAAACCACGTATTCGCCGATGATTGCGGCCTAAATACAGGCTTGGATGTGAAGATGCAGCACATCCTTAATCGTTTTGCTAAGGCCTGCAACAACTACGGCCTCTTCAAAAAAAAAAAAAAAGGTGGGGGAGAGAGATCCTGCTCCAGGCAAAGCTTGAAAGAAACCCAACAGTATAGGATTAAATAGGATTAAGTTAAACAATTGATTCGCCAGGATTTTCTAATCAAGTACAAATCTGGAGGGTTTATTGCGATACAGATCCATTCCCCAGATGCCGCTTATAAAAAAAAAAAATCAAACATCAAGAAATCTCTACTGTGATGCCTACAGTTCTAATCCACCACTATATTGGATAAGGCATGTCCCTTAGTTGGCTTGACTGGCACGCGCAGGGTCAAACACCAACAGCCGATGTCCGATGTCCGGCGTGTGTTTTCCTGCTACCGTATCGCGTGCTCGCTAGTTTTTCTACCAACATTAACCTGCATGTAGCCTGGCTACCAGACATCTATACCATTTGCCCTGGGGGCTCTGATACAAAGCTTTTACCACTCAACGGCTCATCCAGCAGTTTGAGCAGGGGGTAACTTAGATCTTCATCAAGTGGATCCATTTTCCTTTGATTAATGGCCCGATTATAATGGCCCGATTATAATGGCCCGATTATAATGGCCCGATTATAATGGCCTGATTAAGCTCATCGGGGCATTCCGTTTTGTTTTATGTTTTATGTCTTGTCGAGTGCAGTAGTTCAGTCTCGTGTATTGAAATTAGTAAAATATTTTAGCATGTGATGACAGTCCACTGCAGACGTTTCATGTGTTATTTTTTGTGTGTGTCTGTCTTCAGATCCGAAGGAGCTGTACCTGACTGACCTTGTCTGTAGTAAAGATGCCTCTTCTTCGTCTGACTCGGGTTTCTCAACACTGGACGACTTTCAGGACACGGATCTCTCAAGCTGCTTTATGGTAAAAATCTACTTACAGTAACTACCATCACAATCTACGTATACAGTCTGCATAACAATAACAAACTACCGTCACTACCTAATAGCCCAAACCAACTGCACAACCAACCCACACAACATACTTTTACAACCAATTTAACCCACACATTGGATGTACAATAATTTCACTCAAAGTATGTATAGAGAGAAATATTTAAAAAAATACAACGCTAACTCCACACCCTAAATTCCCAAAATAAGTTCTGCTATGGTAATCCAAAGGATCATTTAGTCGAATCACATGCATTGTATTGGGCAGCATTGGGGGGGGGGGTGGAAGAGGGGATCCGGTCGACGAGACTTTCAGCGTTTTTTTGGATAGAAGATTCAAAACTGATTGCAGTCTAATAATATAACTTACAGTCTTGGTCACACCCCCCCCTCCCCGCGCCTACCCGTTGTTTAAATTTCCTAGATCCTCCACAGCTTTCAGTTGTGACCAACATATCTCAGTAGCCGCCCATAGTGTCTCATTGACACACATTGGATCAGTGGTTCTCCACCTTCCTAATGCCGCGACCCTTCAATACAGTTCCTCATGTTGTGGCGACCCCCAGCCACCCCTGGCAAAGGGTCGTGTGACTCCCAAAGGCGTTGCGACCCACAGGTTGAAAACCGCTGCATTGGATGGACTGCATGTTCGGGGATGTATAGCGGGCTTAAAGTCTCCGTCCATTAAATAACTTGACGGGAGTCACAACGGACGTTGTAGAGTTGCTCTCGGACTCCATGAAAATAGGTTAAAAACGAACAGAACAAATCTTAAAGATCCGATGACCTCGTGTAATGTCTATGATCTTTGCATAGCCTTTTAAAGTAAACTAGTAACGTCTTGCCCCGTGATTCAAATACCCCAAGTCTTAACGTCTTGCCCCGTGATTCAAATACCCCAAGTCTTAACGTCTTGCCCCGTGATTCAAATACCCCAAGTCTTAACGTCTTTCCCCGTGATTCAAATACCCCAAGTCTTAACGTTTTGCCCCGTGATTCAAATACCCCAAGTCTTAACGTCTTGCCCCTTGATTCAAATACCCCAAGTCTTAACGTCTTGCCCCGTGATTCAAATACCCCAAGTCTTAACGTCTTGCCCCGTGATTCAAATACCCCAAGTTAACGTCTTGCCCCTTGATTCAAATACCCCAAGTCTTAACGTCTTGCTCCGAGATTCAAATACCCCAAGTGTTAACGTCTTTCCCCGTGATTCAAATACCCCAAGTCTTAACGTTTTGCCCCGTGATTCAAATACCCCAAGTCTTAACGTCTTGCCCCTTGATTCAAATACCCGAAGTCTTAACGTCTTGCCCCGTGATTCAAATACCCCAAGTCTTCGTTTTTGTGTGTCTATGACACCCGTACAGTGATTATTTCAGAAATTCCCCCCCCCCCCCCCTGGGGGCACTTCAGATTTTTCCGGGTGGGACGGGACATTGCCAGCAGTGCCAGTTGATTTATTTTTGGACATATTTTTGCTCGGGGGGGGGCACTTGGCTTTCCCGGGAGGGGGGGCAGGGCGCCCCCCCCCCCGGGAGATATAGCTGAAAAGAAACCCTGCACTCGTAGCCTTGTAATGTGCCCATGTCATCGGCCGTTGATGTTACTATAGGCACCCGGCTTTCACTGTTATTGACCACCAACGCCACCACAAAGGCGAGAATTGTTTGTTCTCAACCTGTCCACCATCGATTGTTGCAGCAAGCTTGGAAGTTTGTAATGTAATAACCGTACGGGGCGGTAAGAGAAGATGGCCGCTGCTGGCCTGAGCGGCGGCGGGATAATTAATTAAAGTATTTGCAGAGAAATGCTTGGCTTTTCTCGACATCATGTCACACAACTTCAAGAAACGAACAACAACAACAACAAAACAACATTTATCTCCCACTCCACCTCCCCCCACGTTGAGGCCTGTGGTGTGAGTTTTTTTATAGGAATACAACATACATATACACAGAGGCGTAGCGATGGGGGGGCAGGGGGAACAGATTCCCCGGGCGCAAGCTAGTTAGGGGCGCCAAAATGTTCTTTTATATTATATTATTGGTAAAAATAATGGGTTTTAGAGTTGAAAAAAAGAAAAGGGGCGCTTAAAAATGGATCTTGTCCCCGGGCGCCAAACACTCTCGCTACGCCACTGCATATACATTGGAGAGTGGGCTTAACTTGAGGGAGATAGACGTACTGGATTTTATGCCAATTCTGGGAGAAAGAGCAAATGTGGGGGTGGGTGTTAATAACGCCAGATCGACTTTGGTTTTAGTTGGGAATAAAGCCACACATAGAAATGTGTCCCCGATCGTTGTCTGCAATAACCGTTGTGCAATATGCGTTGCCGTATCGTGCCTATAGCGTGTTACAAAGACAATAAGATAGGGAGCCCGCAGTTATGTTACCGACGTAACGATTTCTTGCGGTGTTGTTGTCCGAGCTTACCGATTCAAATTGATCAGTTGCTTGAGCTTCTGTCACGTCAGCAAGGAAAAATTAAAGCTTTATATGAAATAATGGTTGAGCTCGCTGTCTTTTGAATGTCCCTTCTCTTGACAACCTATTTACCAGTACTGTCTTACGTTAGCTAATGATCGATAACATCGCTTCTGCTCTATCTTTTCAACCAATGGCATCCGGCGAAAATACCATCTCACCGACATGCTCGTTTTAGGATCCCACCTCAGCCTACGACGTTTTATCTCTCTCTCTCTAAAATCCCACCTCAACCTACGACATTAACCCATCCCCCCCCCCCCCAAAAAAAAAACACCAAAAAAAAAAAAACAACAAAAATAACAAACCTTCAACAGGCTCATTTAAAAAATCCCACCTCAAGCTACAAACTCTTTCTAAAATCCCACCTCAAGCTACAAGCTCTTTCTAAAATCCCACCTCAAGCTACAAACTCTTTCTAAAATCCCACCTCAAGCTACAAGCTCTTTCTAAAATCCCACCTCAAGCTACAAACTCTTTCTAAAATCCCACCTCAAGCTACCAGCTCTTTCTAAAATCCCACCTCAAGCTACAATCTCTTTCTAAAACCCCACCTCAAGCGACAAGCTCTTTCTAAAATCCCACCTCAAGCTACAAGCTCTTTCTAAAATCCCACCTCAAGCTACAATCTCTTTCTATAATCCCACCTCAAGCGACAAGCTCTTTCTAAAATCTCACCTCAAGCTACAAGCTGTTTCTAAAATCCCACCTCAAGCTACAAGCTGTTTCTAAAATCCCACCTCAAGCGACACGCTCTTTCTAAAATCACACCTCAAGCTACAAGCTCTTTCTAAAATCTCACCTCAAGCTACCAGCTCTTTCTAAAATCCCACCTCAAGCGACAAGCTCTTTCTAAAATCTCACCTCTAGCTACAAGCTCTTTCTAAAATCTCACCTCAAGCTACAAGCTCTTTCTAAAATCCCACCTCAAGCTACAAGCTCTTTCTAATATCCCACCTCAAGCGACAAGCTCTTTCTAAAATCCTACATCAAGTGACAAGCTCTTTCTAAAATCCTACATCAAGCTACGAGCTCTTTCTAAAATCCCACCTCAAGCAACAAGCTCTTTCTAAAATCCCACCTCAAGCGACAAGCTCTTTCTAAAATCCTACATCACGCTACAAGCTCTCTCTATAATCCCACCTCAAGCTACAAACTCTTTCTAAAATCCCACCTCAAGCTACAAACTCTTTCTAAAATCCTACATCAAGCTACAAGCTCTTTCTAAAATCCCACCTCAAGCGACAAGCTCTTTCTAAAATCCTACATCAAGTGACAAGCTCTTTCTAAAATCCCACCTCCAGCGACAAGCTCTTTCTAAAATCCCACCTCAAGCTGCAAGCTCTTTCTATAATCCTACATCAAGCTACGAGCTCTTTCTAAAATCCCACCTCAAGCGACAAGCTCTTTCTAAAATCCCACCTCAAGCTACAAGCTCTTTCTAAAATCCTACATCAAGCTACGAGCTCTTTCTAAAATACCACCTCAAGCGACAAGCTCTTTCTAAAATACCACCTCAAGCTACAAGCTCTTTCTAAAATACTACATCAAGTGACAAGCTCTTTCTAAAATCCCACGTCAAGCGACAAGCTCTTTCTAAAATCCCACCTCAAGCTACAAGCTCTTTCTAAAATCTTACATCAAGCTACGAGCTCTTTCTAAAATCCCACCTCAAGCGACAAGCTCTTTCTAAAATCCCACCTCAAGCTACAAGCTCTTTCTAAAATCCTACATCAAGCTACAAGCTCTTTCTAAAATCCTACATCAAACTACAAGCTCTTTCTAAAATCCCACCTCAAGTGACAAGCTCTTTTTAAAATCCCACCTCAAGCGACAAGCTCTTTCTAAAATCCCACCTCAAGTGACAAGCTCTTTCTAAAATCCCAACACCAGTTCACAAAATCATTCTCAAACTGCTGTTTTGTAAGATGTAAGTAAAACAAATGGTCGATTGTCTCATCTCTTATCTTTGTGTTTGACGGGGATGAAGCCATGTGGCAGGCATCCACATGGAGGGGTCGTATCCATGGACCTGTGGGTCGCGACCCCTTTGGGGGTCGCGGGACCCTTTTCCAGGGGTCGCCTAAGACCATCTGAAAACACATATCCTTGCAGCTATGGACTATCAACGAAAATAATTGTGTGGCTGGGGGTCGCCACGACATGAGAAACTGTATTAAAGGGTCGCGGCACTAGAAAGGTTGAGAACCACTGATTTAGTAATTCCTTGATTTATTTCGTCCTGACCGACGGGGCACAACGGCCGGGGAAATGTTAAATTGTAATTTAGGGCCAAAGAGTCTGACCGCGGGAAAGGGTCAAGGACACACACCTTTTGTGTGTATATATTATTATTGATCGCCCTTCGCATGCGAATATGACCGAGGAAATATTAGTCCTGGGTAGTATATGCCTTAACCGGAGCTCTGTTGTGTTATAAAGTGAGGGAGGGTTGCTCAGGTCGTCAGCCTCACTCTCTCGTCCTTGCCCATTTGAACCAATGGCCGGACTCAGTCAAGACGACTGGAAATAGACCAAGATGCAGTAGATGACCGCTTACGGGGCTTCATCTCCGGGTTTGATTTCAGAGTTTGCCTTCTCTTAGATGAGTTGCCATTCAAGGTTAACGGGTCCCATCCCCACCCATGCGTATGATATGCACGTGAAGAAACGGCTCGTTCGAGTGTTCTGGCCGTGCTGACAACTGCGCGACCAGACCAGCTGTTGCCTCTGATTACCAGATCCCATTTTATGTGTTTGTTAGTTGTTAAGACCTCGGAGACAATAAATTGATGTTGTCTGAAGTACATTAAATAGATTCTATTAAGAAAGTGGACTAGCTAGGGCTATTGCCATCCGGGTGGGTCAATATTTTTTAACACCCCCCACACACACACACACACAGACACACACTTTTGGGTAACGTACGATTTTGTTCGAATTTGTCCTAAAATGCCACCCTTGAATAGAATTAAATTTTGAAAAAAAAAATGCCCAACCTTTTCGGTCGTATGCGGAGCTCTACAACATACCCATACTGTTAAGGATAAAATGGAAGGTTCTTTGTTTAATATTCATTCTATGATCATCTGTGTAACTATCGACATAGTTTACCAATAAATGTCATTTGAAGTAGGGGTGTGCCGGATCCGTTTTTTCCAACCGGATCCGGTACCGGATTTTCTTATGCGAAATCCGCCGGATCCGGATACCGGTTTCTCCCGGATTCCGGATTTTGGTACTATTGGTAGATACTTCGGTAAGTCAAGGTGGACTACTACTTTTTGTGTATGGGAATTCGCAATCGGCGCCAAAAAATCCGAGTTTTTAATTTTCCGATGTGTGTGTCTATTTATTATTAAATTAGTACTTTCGATATATATTTGAGTTCCGTTCCATTTGGATAAGTGTCTTACGAGAGACGCCATGTTTCTACGCGTTCGCAGCAGGTTATGCAGCTCGCTCAACCTAATTTCGCCATGGGGTTGGCCACGCCCCCCTTTTTAATGGCGGAAGTTGACGATACTTAGGAAATATTAATTTATTATCACTATTTACATCAAAATAATTGATAACTTGTGTTTCAGAATGCATTTAAAGACATTTAAACTGGAATGTTTTAATTTGAGCTTTAACAACCCGGTAGAATCCATATTATAAATGATCAGAATTTACCGTGTGCAACACGTTGTCATTGGCAACCATTCACAGCCACTTGCATAACTGTATCGTAGTACTACCTCAGAGTTTCATTCATAAGAGTTTGCCGTGTGCAAAAACTATTAAACCATTGGTCAGGGAAAGCTTTAATTAATTATTCATGTGCCAAAGTTGAAAGTTTAAACTAAGTCTAAACAGTATTTTAGTGATAAGGCAGGGAATGCGTTGCCTTATATAAACTATATAGTCATTGCGCATGACGGGATTGGTGGAATGAGATCACAGAATGTGGAGATGCAGTCCATGTTAAAAAATGACAAACCAAGTCGTACTTTAAAAATTCATAACTTTAAAACTACAACAGCTAAAAATATGATTTTGGTGTTATAATTCTTTAAAAAATTACATCTTTTCAACTATGCCATTGGTTTATTTTTACAAAAAGTTTAAATTTTCTTATCAAAGTCCCTACACTATTGGCCACTATTAGCGGTGCTGACTCTAGCCTCTGGTATGTACGGAATATTAAACATTAAACAAGCTCAACGCTCGAAACAATCGATTAATGTATCGTGATCGTGTGAAATTCGGGAAAGAGAATTACTTTTATTTCAGATTATGATCCGGTGAGTCACAAAATCTGGCAAATTCCGAAATCCGGTATATTCCGGATTCCGGAATCCGGTTGTTCCGGATACATGTAAATCCGGCGGAACCGGATTTCACCGGATAGTGCAAAATCCGGCGGAACCGGATTCCGGACCGGGGTCCGGCACACCCCTAATTTGAAGGGATAGAATACTGTGTAGCTATTGACCTAGTTAGTTCAGTTTACCAATAAATGTCATTTGAAAGATAGCGTACTGTGTAACATAGTTTGATGTAAAAGCCAGCCATGGGGGGGGGGGGCAGGTCCCAATAATCCACCCAGTTTTTTTTTAAAAATACGTTAAAAATGCCTTTAAAATTGTTTAAAGAAATTTAAACTGCATAAGATAACGTTCAAATTTTCCCTGGAGTTCCCGAGCAGTCTACCGGATCATGTCCCGATAGCACGTGTAGGATATTGCCGTAGCAAGTCAATAATTGATACGCATAAGGTTATGTTGACAGGCAAGCTGGCGCGGTTTGAATGTCATTGCACGGCGGGAGATGTGCCGTGTGGTACTTGGATTAATGCGCTAGTCGCTGCGCTAAAAGGGGATCAGACTTTCAAGGATACTAGAGATGGAAATAATAAATCTATAATAATATACGAGTATGACTTTTGGGGGTCAGAGGCAAGGTCAAGAAAGGGGCCCATAGATTTATATATATATATATATATATATATATAAATATATATATATATATATATATATATATATATATATATATATATATATAGAAAGAGGTCCATATATTTATATATATATATATATATATATATATATAAATATATATATATATATATATATATATAAATATAAATATATATATATATAACGGCAGTGCCTGGGGCAGTGATTAGTTTACATCTGGGGGCCCTTGAACCTTGGGGACATGTTTTTTACCCATACAAAACTCCCCTCCACCTGAATGTCAATTACGGGGATTGCGTGTTTGCTCACTCAGCACCGGTACAAGAGTAGACGCAGGTGTGTCTCACCCCAAGGCACGCTTTGTACCGGTACAAGAGTATATAGACGCAGGTGTGTCCCACCCCAAGGCACGCTTTGTACCGGTACAAGAGTAGACGCAGGTGTGTCCCACCCCAAGGCACGCTTAGTATCGGTAAAGTAGAAGTAGGTATGTTCCACCCCAAGGTGTCTACACGACCAGGATTGGTGTGTTAGTCCACGACACGACTTCCTTATGGCTTTTAAAAAAAAAAACCCCTCACCTCAGGTCGCTGGTAACATATGTCGGCTGATTAAGACAGTTTGAAATCCTGAAGGAAAGGGTTCAAGTGTGTCCCCACGTGAAGACCTTAGTGAACCGTCTAATCTAAACGCAAACTGGGACAAGGTATGACCACAGATGTCTCCCGAATTTCGTCACGCCCGAGACGCGCGGCAGTGATCCGGACTTGCAAAGCCGCCCCAGACCAGCCAGCGATGAGCGGACCTTTCAAAATGTGAACGTTGTGGGAAACGGTGGATGGGGAATGGGATGGTGGCTTGGCGTTGCGGATGTGGTTAGAGAAACACTCTAACGTTGGCTTCAGTTTTACAACGTTGGCTTCAGTTTTACAACGTTGGCTTCAGTTTTACAACGTTGGCTTCAGTTTTACAACGTTGGCTTCAGTTTTACAACGTTGGCTTCAGTTTTACAACGTTGGCTTCAGTTTTACAACGTTGGCTTCAGTTTTACAACGTTGGCTTCAGTTTTACAACGTTGGCTTCAGTTTTACAACGTTGGCTTCAGTTTTACAACGTTGGCTTCAGTTTTACAACGTTGGCTTCAGTTTTACAACGTTGGCTTCAGTTTTACAACGTTGGCTTCAGTTTTACAACGTTGGCTTCAGTTTTACAACGTTGGCTTCAGTTTTACAACGTTGGCTTCAGTTTTACAACGTTGGCTTCAGTTTTACAACGTTGGCTTCAGTTTTACAACGTTGGCTTCAGTTTTACAACGTTGGCTTCAGTTTTACAACGTTGGCTTCAGTTTTACAACGTTGGCTTCAGTTTTACAACGTTGGCTTCAGTTTTACAACGTTGGCTTCAGTTTTACAACGTTGGCTTCAGTTTTACAACGTTGGCTTCAGTTTTACAACGTTGGCTTCAGTTTTACAACGTTGGCTTCAGTTTTACAACGTTGGCTTCAGTTTTACAACGTTGGCTTCAGTTTTACAACGTTGGCTTCAGTTTTACAACGTTGGCTTCAGTTTTACAACGTTGGCTTCAGTTTTACAACGTTGGCTTCAGTTTTACAACGTTGGCTTCAGTTTTACAACGTTGGCTTCAGTTTTACAACGTTGGCTTCAGTTTTACAACGTTGGCTTCAGTTTTACAACGTTGGCTTCAGTTTTACAACGTTGGCTTCAGTTTTACAACGTTGGCTTCAGTTTTACAACGTTGGCTTCAGTTTTACAACGTTGGCTTCAGTTTTACAACGTTGGCTTCAGTTTTACAACGTTGGCTTCAGTTTTACAACGTTGGCTTCAGTTTTACAACGTTGGCTTCAGTTTTACAACGTTGGCTTCAGTTTTACAACGTTGGCTTCAGTTTTACAACGTTGGCTTCAGTTTTACAACGTTGGCTTCAGTTTTACAACGTTGGCTTCAGTTTTACAACGTTGGCTTCAGTTTTACAACGTTGGCTTCAGTTTTACAACGTTGGCTTCAGTTTTACAACGTTGGCTTCAGTTTTACAACATTGGCTTCAGTTTTACAACATTAGCGTGCCACCCACCCACCCACCCACCACCCAGGGGTATTTTTATCACATTAGTTTTTGCCGGGAAAAATAAATATTTCAACACACAATTTAGCATATTTAATTGACTTCATTTTCCCAGTCATCTACTTTTTCCATTGGCCGTAGTAAGCTGGGGAAAGCTTTCCCAAATTTCATTTTAAACAAAAAAAGGAGTAAATTTTTATTTGCTTTTGGAGCTAGCCAAACTTAGTCCAATCAGTAAGAGTTTTATTTAAATTTTGTTATTTCTTTTAATCCAAGTTGCCATTGGGACAGAAGGGATTCGGTTTCGTGTTCTTTTGTTTTCCCAGTCACCTTTGTGTCAGCTATTGGTGCTATTGTAAGTTCCCCCCCCCCCACCCGGCTTCACTAGGTTTAAAAAATCATGTTGGGAAGCTACATTTTAAAGGAAAAAAAGGGTGGGGGGGGGGGAAAATTTTTTGTTTTCATCTAAAAAACCTGTACCTGTGTATTGCGCATGATGGTATTACCATCGCAGAAAGCAAAGCGAAGTTAAAGCATCCCGTGAAGTCAAGCCTTTAACAAATCTTAAAATGCCACAACCATCCCCGTTTGGTGGAAGGGGGGGGTGCGTGGTGTACTAAATGAGAACCCCTGAATCGGGAACACTTCAATTACCCAACATTCGAATACATTCTGAATAACACCTATTGACTGCTTGTGACATCGCCAAACTAATTAAGCCTTCACTACAAAGGACTTAAAGGAATTCACTATCACCAATGGCGCTAAAAGCCCTTATAAGGAGGCTCTGGCCAGATCAAGCCTTCCCTTCAGACCGTTTCCTTGTGGGGACCCCCGGTTGATCCCTACATCATCAATCCATTAACCCACCGGTGAGGCCCCCCCACCCCCTTTGGTTGGTTTCTGTCTGTAAAGAACTATAAAAAATATTGATTATTTAACTACATGAACATTTGTGACAATGGCTTAATTTTGTCTGGTTGTTAAAACAATAAACTTCTGAGTTAAGATTTTACAAGTCATAAAATTCCTCAGATACCCAGAACGATGTGGGTTTTATGATGTTTAGGTTTTTCATATATGAATGATAATCTTGCAACCCGGTTTTAAATGTTGAAGTATTTCCTCAAGTTAGTCCGTATATTGTCNATTGGGACAGAAGGGATTCGGTTTTGTGTTCTTCTGTTTTCCCAGTCCCCTTTGTGTCAGCTATTGGTGCTATTGTAAGTTCCCCCCCCCCCACCCGGCTTCACTAGGTTTAAAAAATCATGTTGGGAAGCTACATTTTAAAGGAAAAAAAGTGTGGGGGGGGGGGAAAATCTTTTGTTTTCATCTAAAAAACCTGTACCTGTGTATTGCGCATGATGGTATTACCATCGCAGAAAGCAAAGCGAAGTTAAAGCATCCCGTGAAGTCAAGCCTTTAACAAATCTTAAAATGCCACAACCATCCCCGTTTGGTGGAAGGGGGGGGTGCGTGGTGTACTAAATGAGAACCCCTGAATCGGGAACACTTCAATTACCCAACATTCGAATACATTCTGAATAACACCTATTGACTGCTTGTGACATCGCCAAACTAATTAAGCCTTCACTACAAAGGACTTAAAGGAATTCACTATCACCAATGGCGCTAAAAGCCCTTATAAGGAGGCTCTGGCCAGATCAAGCCTTCCCTTCAGACCGTTTCCTTGTGGGGACCCCCGGTTGATCCCTACATCATCAATCCATTAACCCACCGGTGAGGCCCCCCCACCCCCTTTGGTTGGTTTCTGTCTGTAAAGAACTATAAAAAATATTGATTATTTAACTACATGAACATTTGTGACAATGGCTTAATTTTGTCTGGTTGTTAAAACAATAAACTTCTGAGTTAAGATTTTACAAGTCATAAAATTCCTCAGATACCCAGAACGATGTGGGTTTTATGATGTTTAGGTTTTTCATATATGAATGATAATCTTGCAACCCGGTTTTAAATGTTGAAGTATTTCCTCAAGTTAGTCCGTATATTGTCAAAGGTGGATTGTCAACACTGACAGTTGGCTCAGCCGTGTATTATTGGAGGTATTTAAACATTGCATTGTGGCTGGCATCCTCACTGGACCTTTACAGACCACCCATGTTTAGAGCCACAGACCTCCCATGTTTAGAACCACAGACCTCCCATGTTTAGAACCACAGACCTCCCATGTTTAGATTCAGAGATCCCCATGTTAAGAATCATAGACCCCATGTTTAGAACACATGTACCCCATGTTTTTTAAACATAGACCCCTTGTTTAGAACCACAGACGCCTGGTTGGGCATAAATATACCAATAATTATGATGCATCCTGACACTCGCTCCTGATAAATATGTGTAAAACCCACAGGACATACACAGTGGTTGTGTAACAGCTGGCTCAGTATGTATTGATTTGGCCAGTATAGGGATCTAACAGTATGTGAGGAGTTCACCAATCATGAAGGGTTGGAAAGACTTTTTATAACTAAACTACATCTCATAACTTTAGGCAGTTTTTAAAAATATTTTACACTGTAGTTGAACTTTTCAGTTTTAAATATGGAAATGTATAACAAAATAACTGAGAGATTGTACAAAACATAAATCTTACTTCTCATATAACTGAGAGATTGTACCAGACATAACTCTTACTTCTCATATAACTGAGAGATTGTACCAGACGTAACTCTTACTTCTCATATAACTGAGGGATTGTACAAAACATAATTCTTACTTCTCATATAACTGAGAGATTGTACCAGACATAACTCTTACTTCTCATATAACTGAGAGATTGTACCAGACGTAACTCTTACTTCTCATATAACTGAGAGATTGTACAAAACATAATTCTTACTTCTCATATAACTGAGAGATTGTACCAGACGTAACTCTTACTTCTCATATAACTGAGAGATTGTACCAGACGTAACTCTTACTTCTCATATAACTGAGAGATTGTACCAGACGTAACTCTTACTTCTCATATAACTGAGAGATTGTACCAGACATAATTCTTACTTCTCTTATAACTGAGAGATTGTACAAAACATAATTCTTACTTCTCTTATAACTGAGAGATTGTACACAACTCCTAATTCTACTTTCAACTCTAGCGAAATGACTTTGATTACAGGGATGGGGGATACAAGACAATGAAAAAACCAACAACTAGACCATGCTTAACTTGCTTCACTGGCAGTGAATGAACTGGTGCACTAACATACACTGGCATTTGTTATGATCTAAACAACAGGCATATCAATGATGTTAGAATAACTTTTATCTTTTGAAACAAAACTTCACCAGTTGCCATATTTATAAACAGCTACATATATTTAAAAAAAAAACCAACAACTTCTGACTCCAAGAGTTAAGATTCTGCTTTCAATTCCTATTATAAGTTTTTGCCCCTTCAAGTTCCATACTACATTTGAGATATTCATTGTTGCCATGGAGCGACCATTGGTTTTTGTGTGGGGGCCATTTATCTGATAATGTAACAGTGTGAGCCGCTGTGTGTAAAAATATTATTCAAGTTAAAATGACATGGATTCAAAAACATATCATGTACCGGTATCTCATAAATTTGTTTGGATGGTTTTGCCTTTGTTTCAAGGATTTCATTGCAGCTTTGCAGCAGCTTTGAATATTACTGTAAGATGGTTTCATGCATTGCTTAAATGTCAAAACATTGGAGTTGAACTTCTTGATATAGGACTTAACTTTTTTTCTGACTCATGGATCCTCAGTGACATAGGAAAAAGTGGGGATTTTTTTTTTTTGGGGGGGGGGGGAAAAAAATTTTCCACCTGGGCGGGCCTTTTTCCTGATATGGAAGGGCAGAATTTTTGGCAAACTGCATAGTTTTTTTTATTGTCTCAGTGACATAGGAAAAAGTGGGGATTTTTTTTTTTTGGGGGGGGGGGAAATAAATTTTCCACCTGGGCGGGCCTTTTTCCTGATATGGAAGGGCAGAATTTTTGGCAAACTGCATAGTTTTTTTTATTGGCAAGGTGCCCTGGACTGCATTAACCCTTGCTGTGCCACTGATGACCCTGCTGGCTCATACATCATTTTATTTGCTGGTGTATTAAATTAATTTTGTTTGTTTCTATCATAATAGGAAGGAGATTTCAAAGAACTGGACTTTGGTTTGGACTTCACACTGACCAAATTAGACCATGATGATGTGTTTGACCCAGGTAAGTGATGGGAGGTACTAAGAGGATAAAGTCTGCTTTCAGAGGGGGCTCATGCAGTGGTTCTCAATTTGGTCTCAGCAAAAAAATGAGTTACTCTTGCTTAGTACTAAGTAGACATATAAAAATAATCTTCTGTTACATGAATGAGTGCTCCCCCTCTCTTTCTTACTTATAAAGTTGCAATAATAAAATCTCTGCCGACTATTGAATTTTAAGCACAATGATCTATTATGAGCATTGCACTTCAGACTAAAAATCAAGTACAGGATGTGCCCAGTATTTAGTTTGAAGGAAGTGAAGTAATATTCATGTCTCTTATGCTTTATAAAACATCACCATATTTTGGAAATAGCAGTAGACATGAAGAGAAGTAACATCTATATCTCTGACTCTCTGTATCTAAACCTTATATGTTGGAGATAGCAGTAGATGGAAAGAGAAGTAACATCTATATCTCTGACACTCTGTATCTAAACCTTATATGTTGGAGATAGCAGTAGACAGGATACTTTACCTCAACAATTATTTGTATAGAAATTTTATAAATAATTAAAATTGAGTCTGATAAATTCAGGCAGTCAATTTCAAGCAAAATGTTTTCCTTGCATTATTTTTTTTATTTCATGAGACTTTTTTCTGTATTGAATCTGGTCTGAATATGCATTCGGTCCCTTTTAAGGCAACAGGCTGTCGGGTATCTAGAACAATGTCATGGTGATGGGAGCAGAGTAAATGGTGGTGAGGAGTTTTGGGACAGACAAAGATACACTTGAATCGTAGAACCTTGAGAGTCCTAGCCATGGACCTTCTCAGCCATATTCAATATTGAGACTGTGTCCGGCATAAGGAAACACTGAGATGTCATTCTGCAGTTGAAGTCCGTCTCTCTCCCTCACTCTCTCTCCCCCCCCCCCCCCCCCCCCCCCCACACACACACAATAGACAACAAGCCGAGGCTCAAAGTTTTGTCTTTAGGCATTTTCATTTTTACATTTCATAAAATCAGAAGAAATACACAGCTTGTATTGTGTTTCATTAAAAAAATAAATTACACAAAATCTGAAATGAAACTTGAGAACTCCAACAGCCAGGTTGAATGGGGTTTCTCTTAATGCCATCATCCAGTCCCCTTGAGGCTACTTAAATACTTGTCACTTTTTGTCTTGAACAGAAATCCTTGTAAAGAAAGAGCCAAAGTCTCCATCACCAACACCAAGCATCTCATCAGGCTCAGACAGTTACTGTTCTCAGGTGAGTGGATTAGAATCCGTTAGGAGATATGATCTCAGCTGTTCTCAGGTGAGTGGATTAGAATCCGTTTGGAGATATGATCTCAGCTGTTCTCAGGTGAGTGGATTAGAATCCGTTTGGAGATATGATCTCAGCTGTTCTCAGGTGAGTGGATTAGAATCTGTTAGGAGATATGATCTTAGCTGTTCTCAGGTGAGTGGATTAGAATCTGTTAGGAGATATGATCTTAGCTGTTCTCAGGTGAGTGGATTAGAATCCGTTAGGAGATATGATCTTAGCTGTTCTCAGGTGAGCATCTGAATGTATTTTTTTCTCATTTGAGTAGGCTAGCATCTGACTATTATTTTCTTAGGTGAGTGGGCAGACCAACTTATTGTTATTTCCTCATGTGTGTGAGGCGGCATCGATTAATGCTAATTCTTGAAGTTGGGCTATATTATAGCTTGAAAGTTCTGGAACTACTTTTTTTTAAAAGTTTTGTTGGCAATAAGTTGCATCATATTTCTTTTGGACGAGTCGTTCAAGAATGGTTATTCCAAATCCAAATCAGACGATGCTTATTCAACTGATTAATGAGGAATTACTTCACAACATTGTTCCCAACACTTACCAAAGTAGACTTATGTCTTCTAGTTGGTGGCAAGCTGCTATCTACAAAAACCTCTCTCTGTCTCTTTGTACCTGTCACTTGCACGTCCACTAAAACGTACGACCTGAAGCAGAATGGCGCTAATTGTCTGAAAGAATGTCTGGCAACAGGCTGACCCACAGAGGCCAGTTAATATGTGGCAACATTCTGGTTGTCAGGTATTGATAGGCGGCCTCACTTCCATCTGTGGTTAATGGCGATTGCCCAACATCATTAGGTGCTGAGAGACACAGGGCATGCTTTCAGAAATGGAAGTGCTGAGGAAAGCAAAAAATCTGGCATACTGTAGTCATGTGAGAGACAACCACCCCCCCCCCCCCCAAAAAAAATTGCTTAAAGAAATGGGTTTCATTTTAAGGTTGGGATTTCTTTATCCTATTTAAAATATGGAATATTTTTTAGTTTAATGAGGGGTATTTTGAATGGTAAAATGAGGGCTGTAAAATTTAAAGGTTTTTGGGGGGGAAAGGGGGGGGGGATAGTTGAAGAAAATCAATCATCTTCTTTGTTGCTTTATAAATTTTTTTTTTTTTAATTATTATTTTGAAATAATAACTCATTCGTCCACATCACTTCTTCGGCAACGCCGTTTCTTTAATGTCATGGGATATTTCATTTTCCAGTTTTACTTTGTTGAGTCTTGTGTCCATTATGTGAGTCCTGGAACAGAATGGTCAGATTTGTCAATGTGGACAGTTTCAGTACACAGCCAGAACATCAGCTAGCATCATGAAATCACCATCACTACATGTACGTTAAAAATGAAATGACTACAGTCTGGGCAGAAGTGTGCCCGAACCATTTGTCAACTATGAGATATTGTCATTAGCAACAATTTGAGCCGCATTGTTTACTTTGGGTGTTTTAAAAAAAAAAAGGTCAAGAAACCGGTCATCATCATCATCATGGGCAGCCAATGAGTGTTCTAGCTGGCGTGCCACAACAACAACATCACAATGAACTACTCTGAGTGGGCCTGCTATGTGGACTCTGTCTTCCACAGCGGCATTGTAAATATACAGGATTCTTTGAGAAAATGTTTCACAACGGTTTTGTAAATACTTTTTTTTTTGTTGTTGTCACATTGTTGAATTAGTCAGTCATATTTGACAGCTGAATTAGTCAGTCATATTTGACAGCTGATGCATACCATAATTTTTTCTGCAGATTTTTTAGCTACAGCTTCATCAATACATTAAAATTTGATTGCCAGCTCATGGGAATACGGGTTTGACTTCACGGCAGATTGCGTATGCTGATTATGTTGTGTCACTAGTGTGCTGGGCTTTGTGCTTCATTTATGTTCAGTGGCAGGATTTCACATTCCTGATTAAGTTAGCTATAAAGTTGTGAGTTGTGTTTTTCGGCCATCATGACTTGTGAGTCTCATCTGAGTCTCATCTATGTAAAAATAGCCAGTGAGCGTCAAGCTAACGTTCTTAGGATGATTATTTTGTGACTCTGTGACTTCGGTTATCGTGTTGATAGCTGTGTGTGCGGTCAGGTGCGGTCTGGATTTACTGATGTGCTCACTGTGTGCCCTTAGCAACAATTAGAACTGTTTGCTTGCTGCCTGTGTTTAAGTTCATCCTTGCTGTCCGTCTATAAGTGCATCCTTGCTGTTTGTCTACAAGGTCATCCTCCTGTCTGTCTATAAGTGCATCCTTGCTGTCCGTCTATAAGTGCATCCTTGCTGTCTGTCCTGCCAACAATCTTTTTGGTAACATGAATAAGCAGCTGTGAAGTTGACTGAGAGCTAATGCAACAGTGCCAGCTTTATTCTCTCTTCAACTCTCTTACTGCCAAACCAGGCAAGCTGTTTTAGTGCTTGAAAAATTTACCATTTCAATTTATTTTTTTTCATCAGCAGCCTATCCCCCCTGACATCTTCAACTACCACAATGACAGTAGTGTCAAAGACGAAGGCAGTCCCCTGGTCCTGCCAAGCTACAGTCACCAGAGTTTTGATCAAGATGACCATTATGTCTCAAGCCCTTCATCGTTGTACTCACCGCATCAGAACTATGTCATTGAGGCGTCCTCATCACCAAGCCTGTCCCCGTCCTTCCCATCTTCACCCTACCAGCCCCCGCAGTCGCCGCCGTTGTTACCTTACGTCCATCAGTTGAAGCAAGAGATAAGTAGCCCATTCAGTGTGACCAGTTACCCCCAGCACCCCATCTCCCCCCCATCGTCGTCACAGCACAGGTACATCGTCCTGCCCAACATCCAAGTGCCACAAATCAAGCGGGAGGCAACCCCCTCTGTGTCCATCATCACATCTCAGCCAGGGCTTGTCGTACAGCAAGGGAACGAATCCAAGCTGGCGACTTCTTTTAACATCGACACAATACTAAATAGCAAAATCAAGATACAGCCTAAGCCAGGGTCAGAGGTCATCAGCCCTCAAGGTAGAACTAGTTATGTGGCTTTTCCTTCCATGTTTTTTCATAAAATAAAATGTAAACATACATTTGGGTGTGTCATCATAAAGCAATAAATAACCATCAAGGAAAAATATATTAACTCAAATTGCTTAGCTTCGTACGTACCGGTACCGTATATACTCGTCTATAAGTTGAGGGCAATTTTTCGACCAACAATTATGAAGTATGCTATCCTTTATAGATTAGTCAAGGGTAAAAATCGGGACTATGAAATTCTGTGTTTGTTATAATTTTATCAGATTTTACCTAACAGCAAATCACTGTATACTAAACTATGGCCGGTGTTATGATTGACTCCAGATTTATCACACAAGATGCTTGTATCTAAATCTCCATGTGTGTGTGTACCCGGTATCTGGGTCAACGTACCTCTACCGGTAAGTACACTAGCACTGCTGGTAACTCGACATTGCCCTGCAATCAATGCACAAAATTCTGTCGAAACTAGCACTGACCCAGGATAAGTCTGCTGCATTTTAAATTGAAGGTTTACTACTAAAATTTTCTTGACTTGTACACGAGTATATACAAAAAATACAATACATTGATTAATGTAATCTTTTGTGAATTCTCGCCCTGTTAAGCTGAATGTATTTTTCCTACCCTATGCTGGATAAATATTTGACTTTTTTCTTCTTCAGAACATAGTACTTGCATGACATCATATTAATCATATAGCTTCATCTGACCCTTACACTTTTTATTTGAATTGGTCCACCTTCAGTGTTTTTTTAAAATTGCCTCTCTTTTCTACTTATGATGGAATTATTCATTTTTTAATGCCCAGGGTAATAACTGCAGATCACTCGGTCACATTTTTTTTCTGTTTGTCTCTTGCAGCTGGTGTGAGTTGGATCACTACAACATCCAGTCAGGTGCCTTTCACTTCACAATCCATTCCCATCATCACGACATCATCCATCATATCAGGGGGTGTGACAGCTGTTGCTGATGTAAGTACTGGATATTGGATTGGTGCTGCCAGCCCGGTGCTGTCCAGCCCGTGGCCCGCAACCTGATTTTAAATGTCCACCACCGCTTGAGAAATTTTTTTGATGTGTATAAAAAAAATAAAACATTTTCGGGTGAAAATAATTTGAGACCACATTCTTTGGATCAGTATTGTTGGGGAATCCCGTGAGGGCACAGGAGAAGCCATAACATGGAAAGGGGGAATTCACAAAAGAAAAGGAGTGGGATGGCTTAACAGGCAGTAGTAATTTATGTTAAGCACATGAGCAGAGCAACCATTTGAGAACCTGGGTGACATAAAATCAGATACTGCCTGCTCCTTCTTTCTGTTACTTGTACAGGGGAGGCCTCACAGGGTATCGGGTATAATTACTGATGGCAATGAGTAAAATTAATACTGGAAACCAAAAGTTACTTGTGTAGCTATTTGGTCATCATCAAAAATGTACATTCCCCACTAACGGGACCAAGTTAGATGAAATAGAAAGTCTTCAGGTCAGAGTAATTCTGATGGAAGATGGGATACTAAAGGTGTAACCATTGAATGACTATGGTGGGCATTGTGAACCATTTATGGTCAATGTACCATGTTCTTTAAACAGCAGGTCTATTCTGTAGTATTGTGATGCTGGGGACAAGTACCTGGTATTCAGAGATCAGAGTATGAGACGTTCAATGGGCAGAAAGCAAGCTGTGTTTGTTTGTAGTCAGTTCAATTCAGTCAGGGAGAAGTTGTGAGAGACAATGGAACAAATAAATTCTGGATGACATCATTTTTCTTCTGAGGAATTTCCACATCTTTGGAAATGCTGTAACAAAATTTTGACCATGTTTATGGAAGCACCCTACATTAGTGAAGCTGTAATGACATCCATCAAGTCCAAACAAAAGTTATCCTTTGACTGGTAAAAATTTAAAAATCTAATGAGGGCATGTGGTACTGATGACTACTTGGTACCTCAAATTAAGAAATTCGTCATACAATTCAAAGCAAAATAGATCATTTAAAGGGCATGCAGTTTATATTTGCTTTATTTATATTCTTGATGAGCCAATATTGCTCTTGGATATATGACTCTTTTTGCATAAGGCAAGACGTATTAATAACACAACAAATTTTCTAAAAAAGTTTTTTAAAAAACTTACTTTTGAGATGTCATTTACGCTGACCTCAGGTTATCGAAAAATTCTTTAGACCTACATAGTAAAAAAGGTTGGACACTACTGTGCTAGCTGATTTCTGTGTAAGCTACATGTCTGGTTTCCAACTTTGATTATAAATATGCATGTTATCTGGATCTAGTTTGATGTTAAGAACTAGAAGTGGACTATATTTCTTAATTTCTATAAAAAGACATACCATATTAGGCACATGGACTCAGTCCCAGAGAACAACATGGCATACAACACCTCCTGTCATCTTTGGATGGATTTATATTTACTAACAGATAAAGTTACCTTCAGCTGTCTAAATGTTTAAAGGAATCTATCCATCTTTGAACATGGTGTCCCAGCAATGATTAAAAATTAAAGGCTAGCTGTATGCCATTCATATAAATGTTTTAGGGCATCCCCTGCTTCTCCCATCTAACACCCCCCGGATAAATTCATGAGACTAGTATAAAATATATAATAGTTATAATAAAATTTTTCAAAGGCATTTTTCCATCACTCAACACGCGCCTACAAACCTGTTTTTCACAACTGGCTTTAACTTTAAGTACTAAGCAAGTAAAATATTAATTATTTATTTTTGAAGAATATGGGCGCTCATTTTTCTGTTTAAACACATGTTTAATAAGAAAATAAGCTAAAACGTTCGATTACCAACACCTCTAACTGAATGTCCAATTTGTATTTTTAAGCAGGAGAAAACTTTAAAGCGAGCACAAAGAATCATTAAGAATCGTGAATCTGCAAGTTTATCTAGGAAGCGAAAAAAGGAGGTATATATGGCCTAATTTACATTCTAAGTTAAACTCTATACATTTTTGCCTTTTTGACAATTGGGCGATCTTTTTATTTCAATTTTAAAAATAATTTTTATCAACAAATTTACTTATTTTATCCTTTTTGCTTTAGTCTATACGGTACTAGTTTTTAAATTTCAACTTTATTTTTGAAATATTCTTTTGCTTTTACTCAAAGAGACTGTTATAAATATAATAATTGTTTTTTTCTTTTACCAGCAAAATTTAAGGATTATTTTCCATATTTCATTTTTGTACAGGTACTTAAGCAAATAAATTTACCTCCCACCATGAGTCAGGCAAATATCATCTAAACAATTTAATTTAGACCATTAGGTTATTGTTATGTGAGCCATTTTTTGTTCCAGTACTTAAACAGCCTTGAAGAGAGACTGCAGCAATGTAGAGATGAGAATGATCGCTTGAACAAAGAAAATGAGACTCTCAGAAGACAAGTAGAATACTTACAGAAGGAGGTAAATCTTTAAAAAATACTGTATTATCTCCAAAGTTAGAGTAGCACTGCTTAAAAATAACAGATGATGATATCTTAATTTAATATATAGATATAACAAAATAAGTACCGGTAGTTTGAGAATTTGTGTCATTTCAGCCCTCAAATCACCAAAATCTAACATGATCTGGCTATGCATTTAGGAAAACTGCTTTTTATACAAATAATACCGCAGCCCTCTTATTATTTCTGCTCCACTGACAATGTTAAATGGCTAATTAACAATTTTTTTGAACAGAATATTTCTTTGAAGCACCCAGGTGGTTTAAGTCCAGTGAAGAAAATTTGTCTCATGTGTATTGGCCTACTGCTTACTCTCAACCTGTCTCAGATGAGGTAAGTGAAACAACTAATCTTGTTCTCAACCATTCTCTCAGAATAATCAAAACAGTGACCTCTGAAATTGGCTTTACCTCCAGAGCTTATTGAATGGACATGATTAGAGCCTAATTTAGCAGCCTGCTCTAAAAGACTTACAAAATTATGTGACAATCTTGAAATTACAATACTCAGGGGAGAATACTGATGATTCTTGAAAAACAAGAAGTGTACAGTTTTGTTTAATCGTAATGGTCTAATCATACACAGAAGATCTTAACAACTTTAATTAGTTGATAAAAAGATTATTTCACATTTTGTTTTGTTAATGATAAGCCTGCAGATTGGTTTATATCATATAAGAAATGATGCATCTTTTCTCCAACTCATCACCAATAATGGCAAAGGTGACCTTTACTATTAACCAGTGTCAGTAAGTAATAAAATAGGTTTATTAATTAAAATATCTAATTCAGTGCTCCGCACCCTTTTTTTGGCTTAGTCACACCTAGACCCTTCCCAGATTTCTGCGGCACACTACAATTAAAACATGGGATTAAAAAACACGACTGATTTTTGTTTAAAAGTGCTGCCAACATTTTAGTTTATAATTTTGTACTGGTATAGACATGAAATTAACATGTCCAATTAGATCTGCTGCACACCGATGCGCAGCAGCACACCGGTTGCGGAGCTCTGATCTAATTATAATTATGGTTTTAGATCAACAAGAGCTCTCCATAAAGTTGTTACCCTTGATCAGATTTAAAATAAATACATTGAGAATTCATGTTAATGTGAAGTAAAGTAAATCGAGATCATAGAGATTTTTAAATATAAAATTTAAAGACAAAATTTAAAAAAAATAATAATAATGCAAACATTTCACTGCATGTATTTTATTGAATTCTTCAGCTTCCTTAACAAGCAAAGCTCAATAAACTCTCAACCCGGTTTGGGAAACGCCTATTTAAGCCGCCACCTTATGTCCATCGATGATAATGTTAACCAGCGGACCAAGAGTTTTGGTAATGATGGTGGAAGAAATGATAACTGGTCCCCAAGTCTTCTGATGAGGTTTGATGAAGAACTAAGCTTGATAGCGGAGAAGCTCAACATCACACAAAAACTGGGCAACATGTGCCCTATGTACTTCAACTCCACTGAATCAGTCAGGTATGTTTATCTGAGTTGCTTTGCAATCTCAGCATCAGGTCATCTCTGATTTTAAATCACAGCCTGGGGGCATTGTAAATATAACCGACTTTAAACAAATAGTTAGTAACTGATTTACAAATTTATACTTAAAAAAATGTTTTTGTGTTTTCAAAGGAACTGTTGAAGGGAAGATGGAAGAGTGCATCACAAATTATAATGTCATTGTTGATCTTTGTGTTTTAGACTTGCTGAGCAACTTAGGGGATGGATGATTAGTCAAGAGGAGGAGAAGAAGAAAAACAAGGAAAAGAAGCGCCAAAAGAAGAAAAAGGACTACCCACCAGTCAAACGATTTGCAGCCACTGGTTCCTTCAGTGGCCCCACTGCTTCAATTCCCAACAGTGAGGTGAATGGACCAGCAGTCAAGGGAAGCAACTACCCCATACAAGTGTTTAGTGGGGGATATGACTCAAGGCAGCAACTACTCAATGCTATTCATAGAAGGAATGATACATTTTATGTACTCTCATTCAGTACAGTAAGTGGATTTATATATTTAATAATACATTTATTTGAATGTCATTTCTTCTTGACTGCGGTTTTAATGAAATTCTTCTTAGATGAATGCTTATGGTGGAGCAGTTGAAATTGAAACAAAAACTAACAGTTCAAGGGGAGTTAATAGGCAATAACTGTGAATTTGGAATACTGTACTTGTGCACTGGTATTATAGTTTCTCTTATTACAGTTATGTTTCATGATGCCCGTTGTTTAGGTATAATCTAAACTGAAATATAAGGCATTAATAAAGATTTCCCATGTAAAGTCAAAAATAAAAAAATATTTTGTGAGTTTAACTACATATTTCACTTTCACCTTGTCTGTTGGACTTTGCAGTGAAAAGTTATAAGACTGGTCACAATTCTGTTGCATTAGACGATATGTTTATGTGGTAGCCAACATGCCATTTTCATTGAAGTAATAAATATGGTTACTGGAACTGTGATCCAAATAAATTTCGTTGATGGAAATTTGATCAAACGGAAATTTGATCGAACGGAAATTTGGTTGAATCTTTTTTTCAGGTTCACACATTAAAATTTTCGTCAAATTTCTTTTTGAACGCACTATACTATATAGTAAAACAAAATAATGCCCTCAAAAAGAAATTTGACGCAAAATTTTAATGTGTGAACCTGAAAAAAAGATTCAACCAAATTTCTGTACCGGTACGATCAAATTTTCCATCGACGAAATTTCTTTCGATCAAATTTCTGGATATAAGTAAATACCGGTACTGGTACATATTTTCTGTTTAACCATTTTTAGGATTACTTCTTGGTGCCTGCTACAGCACATAACAAGACCATGAGGCCTCGGATGTCTTTACTAATGCCAGTTGTCACTCCTTCAATTAACGGTAATTATAGAAAATAAATTACACTTTATGCTTAACCTTGTCATTTTGCAAAGAAATAGTTTTGTTCTGAATTCGAAGCAATGCTAATTATAATTTTTAATTTGATTGGCCTATACTAGAGCCCTGGAATTGGGTGTCCCCATACCTTGATGCTAGATAGAGCTAGTGAGCAATGGCGATGTGAGCTGTGAAAGGGTGGGGCAAGATAGATGAGCCTAGAGATTTACTTTATGAATAACACAGCCGTCACATGACTTTGGAGACACCCTGCCACTTTTCAGTTTTGCACCCCCTGCATTCAAAGTTGATAGTTTAAATTTGATTCACATCACATTTTTGGGCCCATCAAAAATTTGAGTCTCTGCGCAGCCCCACAGAGTGCTGGGCCCAATAGACGTCTCTGTAATAAGATTAGATTGCCCTATTTGTATTAGTTTCATTAAAGAACCATTATTTTAGTTTGATCTCAAATAATAAAAAAAACAATTTCATGTCAATACCAGTAAATTACCAGTTAATTTATATTTAATTATTTGAAAACTTGGTCAATGAATTAATTATTAGTACTATGTCCTTTGTAATGATAACAGGAAGCACAGGCCATGCCCAGGACAGTGTAGGAATGATGCAGATTGACTGTGAAATTCTGAACACCAACCTAATACAAGTGCAGCGATCTGCCTTTCCTGAAGAGAATTCCTTCAATGCGACATCATTTGAGAAAAGCAGGGACGCAGCAAATACAGCCACACGTCAAAACAGTAACATCCATGCACGCAAGCAAGAAAAACAGGAAAAATATTGGGAGAAACTGAAAAAGTCAAGCAGAAGATGAACAAGAGAAGCATAATTTTTTAGTTTATTAATTATTATTGTTAATCAATGTTGTTTATTGATTTCAGTGTCTAATATATTATACTTATTTATTTATTTTTTATGGTAGAAAGAGGTTGTAGAAAAAGACTTGAGTTGAATTTGAATGCATTAAAGTTAAAGGTTTTCTCATGACTTTGTAATGTTTACTGTTTAGTATGGTTACAGTAACACTTGCAGTGAAATCAACATTATTAGTTACCGTATTTATTAAGATATGAAATTGAAACATAACACACTTGTGAATAGACTCTCTTGTAAAGTCTTATTATAATTTTTGTAAACAACTTGAAGTTGTTATGGAATATATTTATAGTACCGTACCATATAGGCATTGTCTCTATATTGTCATGTAAATAATGTACAAGTACAAGTAACTAGATGGGTTTAGGTAATACCATAATCTATTTTTACACATTTTATCATGGTTCAGAAAATTATATTTCTATACTGTATGTGATATTTGTCTATTCAATCAGTTATACAAATCTAAGGGCCGTAACAAAATATTCAATAAATTTTGTAATCCTTTAGCAAATGTTAAGCATAGGGTAGTTTTTAAAATTGCATTATATATCAATAAAAATACCAATACTAGGGAATTGGAATAAAAAAAAATTTCTCCCACTCTCTAATCATTTCAAAGTAAGTTGAAATGAACCTCTTCTGTTAATTTAGTACCGGTACTTATTGTTCACTAATTCTACTCAAATAGTACCTTATCTCAGCTAGTTCTGACAAAGCTGAAAAATTACTCGGTCTCATGCTTAACAGTGCTAAAGTGAACTAATTGAGTAATGTCATTGTTCTGGTTGATGCTATCACTATCACTGCCACTTACTGATACTGTAGCCTAAAAAAATCTTTATTTTTATCATAATTTGTTCTACTGTTAAAGGTTTCATTTTAAAACCTGGTTTTTTTTTAAAAATATTTTGATCTGTTACTTTATCCAACCAAGAAATGTTGTACAGTTTCATATTTTTTTTATATGTTATGCTTCAAACCATTTTATTTTATATACTCTTGCTGTTGCAAGGATAAATCATCATAATTACAAAATGAACACACAAAAAAATTTAAAACCTCATAGAAATCGTTAATCCGAATAATATTTTCAAGTTATATTATTTATTATCTATACCCAGTATCAAATTAAACGTATGATTGTCCTCATGATAGTTGAACAAAGAATGGTGTGTTCATGATAGCCTTCAAAACTCATTTTAAGACTAGGAAAATAGGTGTACTGGCACCATTGTAAATTCTAATTTGTCCCTTGAAATGTTTGTTTAGATATTTTAAAACTTAGTTTCATTTTGGTACTGCAGAGAAATCAACATGTTCATACTTTCCAATAATTTGGAAACACCAAGAAACATCAGTCACAGAAAGACTTAATTTCTTTAATAATCGCTGTTGCTTTCAAAAAGTGAAAAAGGCAATAATACGGTACCGGTATAAATAAAGATTTTACTGAAATAATGTTGCAAATATCTATGTGTTGCAAGGCCTGATAGGATAATATGCCTTTAACTAATGTGTATATAAATGGTAATGTCCTATGTCCTCAATATTAGATGTGAATTTCATTTTCAACATCTTTGTGATTTTAATTTCTGTCTATGTGATTGATGTTATATTTATGGGGTGCAATTTTATTATGTTCTATTTAATTTTAATGATTAATTGTGAAAATATGGAAAGGGTGTGTGCATAATTTTTTTAATGGGTACACGTGATAAGGTGAAACAGGTCATCTCAGGATGTATTGTATGTGATTGCTATTAATGCCAAATAGAGTGTAAGTGCCCTTATAAATCATGAGTACAAAATAAAAAATCGAGTAAAAAGCAGAAGGGTCTCTCCCCACCCCCAGTTGTTGGCCATTATAGTGAAAATTATGCCATTTTATTGGATTATTAGAAATATTAATTAGTGAAAAAATCCAAGTATTGCTCCACCAGCACAAAGACTCATGTTCAATGCATCATTCTATGCTTATAATTATAACATTTTGAAGATTATCTTCTTTTTCTTAAAATTTATGTGTTTAAAAATAAACTATTTTACAATTAACATATGTATCCCTTTAATTTTAACTTGCACACCACAGAGGATAACTCATACAAAAACAAAAATGCTCCATAGGTATATTTCACATTTATTTCTGTTCTCAAACCAAAGTTTAAAATGACTACTTCTTCTTGGCCACACCAACAGTTCTACCTCTACGACCTGTGGTCTTGGTGTGCTGACCTCTAACTCGGAGACTGAAATAGAAATAAATGAACATCTATAAAGACAAGTAATATTTCATTTCTCAAATAGAAAAATTACTGTTAACTGCATAAAGAGTGTAGTTTTCATCTGACCCCCTAGTCTCAGGAGAGACTACAGGTGTGAAAGAAGACCCTTTTTATATAGCTGCACCATCTTTTACCTCTGATTTGCAGTGGAATCAGAAGATATTATGACCTAACAGCATGAATACTTGTACAAAACCCAATACTGACATAAGAATGAAAAAAAAAAAGTGTGGGAGGAGGGAACAATACTATGAGCACTTAATGCTTTGAATTAAGTAGTATTATGTATAGATATTTGTTACACCAAATTTTTGGGTCAGACTAATGCCCTAACTATGATCAAGAACTGGGTTTATCTTTCACATAGCTCAATTTATTTAATACAAATTTAAATGGATACCAGAGCTTTAAAATTAAGCCTTATTCACTTAATTAATGTCAAATTAACACATGCACCTAAAAGGATTATAAAAGAAATAAGAGAAAAACATATGGAAGCCTAATATTGTAATAACACTTACCCCCAGTAGTGCCTTAGACCTCTGTGAGCTCTAATTTTCTTTAGCCTCTCAAGATCCTCACGAAGCTTGTTGTCAAGGGCGTTACTTAGAACTTGACTGTAACGGCCATCTTTAATATCCTTTTGTCTGTTGAGGAACCAGTCAGGGATTTTATACTGTCTTGGATTGGTCATCACAGTTACAATGCGTTCAACCTGTAAAAAAAAAACAATTACAAATTTTCACTTTTCTGCTTTAAAAAGAATGCCAGAGAAATACATTTTTAAAAAAATGGTCCTATTAAAATTGAATGTCATATTACCATTTTCAAATATATATACTTTACCTCCTCTTCAGTCAACTCTCCAGCCCTTTTTCTGATATCCACATTGGCTTTCTTGCAGACTACAGTTGCAAATCTCCTACCCACACCCTACAATAAAATAAACATTTGTGAAATTACATTAATAATTCGAGGCACTTATATTGAAATAATTAAAAATCATTTTAAAAAGTATATTAGACCAAAGTAAAAGTGAAACCATACTCCAGCCTTAGTAGTAGCATCACTGAACATTCAGATAATTGGGGCCAAATAAATAGAAAATGTAAACTGTAGCTTATGGACTATTGCTGCATGCAGCTCACTAATAAAATTATATCTCCAATAAAACACATTTGTATGAAAATAAGCACTGATTTTCATCAATATATAATATAAAGGATAGGCCAAATTTTGAATTCTGACAATCTGAATATGGAAAAATCACCAATATTGACACACGATTTCCCAAAAGATTCTGCAATTTCATTTAGGCCAATGGCAACTGATGGTAAAACAAATGCAATTGCCAAACGAAAGGGTACCGTAACAACATAGGCCAAGAATCTGAAGCTCTTCAAAGTCAAAATGCGGAAGTATCTTGATTTTGGTTGGGGGGGGGGGGGGGGGGGGGGGGGGGCAGATGACTTTCATGAATCAAATTTCACTGATTTGACGAAAAATTATCCATCAGGCTTAGGAGGGAGTGTATTCATCACCTACTTTGGTTAAGTCTTGACAGATATTTTTAAAAAAATATTGTAGTCCATTTCAGACACAATTAGCAAGACACGACTTACCCTGATTGAAGTGATGGCAAATGAAATTTTTCTCCTGCCATCTATATTCGTGTTCATAACACGAAGAATGTGTTGAAACTTCTCTGGCAGAACAAGAGACTGAAATTTTGAAAACATACTGCGTAGAGACATAGTATAGGATATATTTTTAACTAAACAAGTCCATAAACAATGGTGATGCAAGGCCTGGTCTGCTATTAAGTAGAGTAAGACCAGTCTCCACAGTCCATTTTTACTATATCTAAGGCTAAGGGAAGGATTTTTTGTATGCAATCTTTAAGACTTACTTGTGACCCAATGTAACTTTTAAAGAATATTGTAGGAGGGATTGCTTTCAAGCCATGTTAAGTAAATAATTGGTGGAACAAGATGTTTAGGCTTGAAAATGAAAGACATAACTAGTGACATAAAACTTGTACATGTTCACCAAGTTTTAAAGTTAATGTAGCTTATTATTTATTGCATTGTCTGCTGAAGAAGGCATTTTATATTCAAGCATAAACATATCTTGTTCCACTATGTAACTTTTAAGCTGTTATATATGCCTAACCAATAATATAACAACATTCTAATACAGAAATTTGACATTGCAACAAATCACTATAATTACCATAATATATATATGATGGCGAAAATAAACTGATAAATGTGTACACTATGTTAAATTTTGAATTTTTTAATATTCTGAAATGTGTTAGGTTCACGGTTAAGATCGGGATTATAGGATGTAAATTGAAGTTCAGAAAATACTAAACCCACCATTTTGATCTCTTTCACAAAAAGGAAGCACTTAACCGGAAATTCAATAATAATGGGATCCGGAAATTTTTACAAGATTTAACATTAAAAATGAATCTAATTAACTAATTAAACCATTTACTAAATACGAAAAAAACACATTCGCTCTTTTAAAAACTTAAAAATTATAGTTAAAATAAATTACATATTAATTTTCAATATTTTATCAATAAATTTTAACATTTCTTATCCGTATTTTCTAAAACAATAACAAACATGGCTGACCATACAGACGTGTCTTCTAATTTTGACACTGTTAGTAAACGCCTTCGATTTTATTTGATTCTTTTAAAAAGAGAGGATTGAATAATTTATAAACAGTATTCTTCAGTCCCTTCTTCTCCATCCCTGATTTTTGTATTATCATTTTTTTTACCGGCATATCTCATTCATGTAATGAATACAACCTGCTCCTCCGAAAATATATATATTATTATATTATTAATTATTATATAATATATATAAAAAAGTAATAAGTAAAGTGGTAAAGTAAATGAATTAAAATGATGCTGCTACGGTACACAGTACTTCAGTAACAGTACCTCTATTTACCGTTACTATCAGTACAGTGAGAGACCTGGTTCAAAAACATTAAAACCTGAATATTCTACTACGGTACTACAGCGTCGCCGTCTGCGTTAGTTATGAAAAAATTGTGCTGTTCAGTAGGCACCTCGGTATCGACCAGAAATACCCGAAAAACGGGTATCATATTTTCGTTGTCATAATGGCGACCTCTACTTTTTAATTTAACGAGGGTATCGTTTTTTTCGCGTTTCATAATCGATTTGTAGCATAATAATATAATTTTACTTCCGCCAATTACTTAAAGCCGACATTTTTCCTGTTATATTAAGAGTTCGTTTGATTTTTTGGGTCAAGATTAAAGCTTTGAAAATTGAAGTTAAAAATTGGTCAACTTCACTCAAGAATAACTTTTTTTTAAAAATGCACTCTTAAATAAAAATACTCCACTCTTTTAGTTTATATGTTCATTTAAAACATATCCAAAATTCATGAGTGTAGACCATGGGTGGGCTTCAAAAACGAATTTCCAAGATGTCATTTTTTTAGGCTATGTAATTTATCATCATGGCCACCGTGCTTGTCTGCTTATTTCCAATTATCGATAGCAGCCCATGGGGTAATTAATATTCATTAAGTTGGTTATCCAGAGTGTAAATGGGAAATATAACTAATAATAAATCATTTTATATAAATAAAAAAATGTTTTATAACATAAATAATTATTATTGGCTTATTGAATATCAGTGATTTTAATTTTTGGGTTGGTTGCCATGGACCTGGCTGACACTGACATGGGAATAAGCTCTTGTCTTTGACTTAGATAGTGATAGGCTTAGTTTAAGTATTATAATAGTATTTATACTATTATAAATTATTTAAGGAGTGGGATAAATAGCTTTTATTACAACTAATATATTTATCATTTATATTAGTTTATATATTTATAGATAAATATTTATTTGTATATATATAATATATATAATGACCATAAGGCTAGAGGCCTTGTATACATATAATATAGTATAATACAAAGTATACTATATCAGGGTTAAGGCCTAGACCCAACCCAACTAATTTGTAGAGCCTATTATAATAAATTACATTTAATGATATTTTAGGATATGTAATAAAATTTTAATGAATATTGTGATTCTTACTTAAGGCATAAACTAAGTAAAACATTTTGAAATATTCACTTACCTTTGGTATTGAAATATCCTATATTTAATCACATATCACAATATTCCACAAGAGAATTATTATATAATCCTCGGTTTCTCAAAGAAAAAACACACTTTCTGGCACTACAATCCAAGAATTACTTAAGATATTATTAAAGAACAATCATAATAACCTGTACTTACCTCTAGTAAATGACTAGAACTTATTTTATTAACAGCTAAAGTCAAAGTTGATTCTAATAATACATGTGGATTTGTAAAACAAGATTACAAACTTAAAATAAATGACATGCTGATTGTTTTGTCATACTCATTTAAAACATTTTGAAATATTCACTTACCTTTGGTATTGAAATATCCTATATTTAATCACATATCACAATATTCCACAAGAGAATTATTATATAATCCTCGGTTTCTCAAAGAAAAAACACACTTTCTGGCACTACAATCCAAGAATTACTTAAGATATTATTAAAGAACAATCATAATAACCTGTACTTACCTCTAGTAAATGACTAGAACTTATTTTATTAACAGCTAAAGTCAAAGTTGATTCTAATAATACATGTGGATTTGTAAAACAAGATTACAAACTTAAAATAAATGACATGCTGATTGTTTTGTCATACTCATAGGAATAATATAATATATAGTATACATATGTAGAAAATGGTAAAATAAAAAGTGTAATTGTCAATTTTAAATAAATAAAACAAATAATCCCTTTATTATTTGTTTATGCTTATAAATGCTAAACAATTCCACAGAAAATCTGCAATTAATATCTAAAGAATATTATTATTATTATGATTGTTGGGAAATTAAAAACAAAATTTTAATTAATTAATTTCAAATAAGTGACACATTTTTAAAAGGAAAAAATCAAGTTTAAAAAAAAAATATTTTGTGGAATATTAACAATAACTAACTTATATTTTGTGGCTTTATTTAGAAGTACTCTTATTTAACTATGTCCCATGTAAATATATATTTTGTCTCATTTTACAATAAAGTTATAGGTGTTCAAAAAAAAGCAAATTGAGGGTCACGAAATGTGGAGCAAAATCCCATAGTAAAAAAGTGCCTTTGAGGTCTCTACTAAAAAATTCATAACTTTTGAACCACTTGAGCTAGAAAGTTGATCTTGGTGTTTTTGTAATCTATTCTCCAGGTTCTATACAGCTGTAGTATTTTTTTATATTTTTAAAAATGTTTTGAAATTTTCATCAAAGTGCCTATTAAACTACAAACATAAACCAGATCAGACACAAAATCTGTTGTAAATATGTGGATGCACGCAAAGTGAAAACTGAAAAGACAATTTGGCTAAAGACACATATTCATATTGCAATCTTTTCTCTTCATATTAATTTTTAGCATGAGTCATGATGAGTTCATGCCCCACAATTGTTTTCATTCAGATGATGTAAACTTAAACTGTTTAATTTTTCAATTGTTAAAATTATTAAATTTGTCAATTTTTAAAATGGGATTGATGACTACTTGTCTTTGATTTGGATAGGTCTAGTAAAATTATTATAATAGTAATAAAACTATTATAAAATAGTAATGTCATTGACCTATTTGATAATATTAAGCAAAAATTATTTTTTTAGCACTTTAACTTAAAAAAACAACTTGCCTTTGATATTGAAAAAATTCCATCAAGTAAATATAAAATAATTTTCACCACAATTAAATATTTCACAAAGTATGAAGCAATTAAACTTCTACTACTAATTACAAAAAAATCCTAACACATTCATTTCCAAAGGTGTCCACTTTAACTAGAAAGTTGATGTTGGTGTTTCTGTAAATAATTCAAATTGCTCTATTCATTTGCATTGCATTTACATTTTGAAAATTTCACCAAAGTAACTACTGTCTAAGTCACACCAGTCTAATTCCAACTTTATTTTAAAATAAGGTTAGCCCCCAGATAAAATAATTTAAAAAGTAAGAAGATGTACAAGTCTTAATCCTGTCCACTCTATAAATACAAGAAAGAAGCTCACACTCATTGTAATAATGTTAGGGATATTGTTACATTAAAAATATTTGATAGTAATTGAAAGAATACTAGACACTGTACTTCTTGCACACACAGATTTTAAATTATGGTTTACCAACTAAAAGTTACTACTACACTTTCAATTCACAATTACATAAATTCTGGCCAATGTCACTCGAGATCCATATTCTATATTTAGACTCATCTTATGGATACCTATCAATCCCAAAGGTAGCTTTCATTTTCTTTTGAATGGACCAGTGCCAATAGGATTTAAGTTTAATCTTCATTTTCACCATCATTGAATTTCTTGTAAAAAGTAATCAAATGCTCTGATTGCTGCTTCCATTTTTGAAAGTGTGCAATTTAAAAAATCTAAATCACATAATATTTTCTGGCCATACATGTAAGAGAAAATAAATATCTTTACAAAAAAGTATCGGTCAACTGTATCACTTGGCATGTATGAATGAATGTAATATGACAATGACAGAAATTTTTTTTTACTTGACTTTAGGCTAGGCCTAATGTATATACTTGTTCTAAAGACTGTTGCTTCATAACTGTTGGTAATTCGTTATGGTGTACTCTGCTCATGTGCTTGTAAGCAATTGATCATTTTTTGCTTACAGGTACATACTATCAATATATGCTGATGCCTAAGTAACCAAGTTTGCTTGACCCACTCGAATTTGGGCACAGAGGGTTTAATCGTATCTGCACATAAAGCTTTTTCGGTTTAACCACAGCTCGTTTGAAATATTAAAAGAATTTGACTTTTTATTTAAAAATAAATATTTCTTTGTTAATTTTTATTTTGCACTCTTCGTAGTGTTATGGATCAAAATTAATAGATCACATTATTTATGGACACTTTATTTTAGGGATAGTTTTCAAACAAATTGCTAGCTAGTTTGCATTATATGTGGATCACTTTATCATAAACTCATAAACAAAAATATAAGGTTGTTGCAGATCTTTTTTAATATTTAAAGTATCTGGTGTGTATGGTAGACATGGACCTTGATGAGATGCAATAACTTCATTATTCAAGGTACCAGTAGAAAATTATAAAAACCTTCTGTGACCCTTTCAGAAACCAACCACCCCACTTATTCCCCTGAAATTGAAATATATTTTTTTCCAAAAGTCCTCCTTAGAAAGAGTAAATAATGTAATTAGACATTAATAGACACTAATTGCCCTATATTATTATATAAAATAATATAGGTCTGATTTCTACTATC